GCGTTTCCGGCTCAGTCTGGGTCCGGGTCCGGGTCCGGGTCCGGGTCCGGGTCGGAGGGGAGCAGGCGGCGGGCGAGAGGCTTGGCCGCGCGACTCTCGGGCCCCGGGCCCGGAGCGGACGGTAGACGCGGTACTGCGCCCGGCCCCCTCGGGCCTTCTCTTGCGCCATCCGCACGACTCAGCCACCCGGCGGTCCGCGGGGGCGGGAGCCTGGGGCCATCGGCTGAGGGCCTGGGGCCCAAGTCCTGCCTCCCGGCTCTGCGCTTTAAGGAGGCCGGCTGAAAGATTCGAGAGCCCCGGGAGAGGCCGCTCCCCCGTGTGAGAGCACTTGGCGCGGGCACGGCCCTTCGCACTCCGCTGGGGAGTGTCTTCCTCGGGACCTGTCCACCAACCAGCAAGAAGTCTTCACCTGCCGATGGCAGCTTTGTCACCTGCTGTCACCTCACCTCTCTCTTCGCCTGCCGAGGGCACACGGCCAGGCTCTCCTCTTCCGGAGGCCGGGATCCAGGAACACGGTACTCCACTCTCGAGGCCTGGTCTTTGCCCTCGGGCCCCAGGCCTGACCTTGACATCTCTGGTCACTGAGTGTGCAGCATCCCCCGCTCAGCCCAGTCCCCTCCTGGCTTGTCGCAGGGTCAGGCAGGCCCCCGATCTCAGAGAAAATTGAAGTCTGGTCCTCAAGGAGCACAGGTTTTAACAGTTCTTTTTCTTAGATAGCGTTTGGGAGTCTGTTTTTATTGTAAGAGTCATTCATGCTCATTAAAGAAAATTTGGGAAGTGTCGGGAAAATAGAAGAACACCCCCCCTCCTCCCAGGAAAGAAATCACTTGTCAGCAGATATAGGAGTGTCTGCACAGGTTTTCAGTCTTTCAGGCTCTGCATGGTGGTTTACTGCCCTTGCTGCCTAACCAGATTGATTCAGAGCTTAACCTCAGCCCTAAAATGAAGTCATGTCGTGAAGGTCTCAGATCTGCCAGGAGCAGTGCTAGAACCCCTGTGCACCTTCTCTCCAGCCCCCCCCCATTCACTGGCGGGAAACCGAGGCTCAGAGAAGACTTACCACAGCCAAGATTTGAACCCAGATCCGGGATTCTGTGACCCGTGTTCTCCCAGGAGGCCTTCCACCTGCCCACCCCCTCCTCCCCCCTCGCGGTTTGCTGTAATCCTCGGTGGACGAGCCGTCCACTCACCAATTCTACAAAACGTGCCCCCCCACTCAGGAATTCAGCACCGTGTGCCAGGCCCCGGGTGCCAAGATGGAACGCTGTGTCACTGCCTGGAGGCGCCCCACAGCCCCCATGGTGGGGGAGCTAATAGAGGACAGGTCCACTTGTGGGCACAGAGCAGGAACTCTTGGCACTGTAATTTGCCCCATGTGGTCTCCAGCCCATCCTTAGGTCTGAGGCAGGTGACGTCGTTCATCCATTAGGCAGCTAGTACCTGCCGGGACCAGCCTCTGACCCAGGTCTGCCTGACCCCATGGCCGGGCCTTCCCACTGCATCCTGTGCGCAGTGTGTCTGTGAGGCCGCCGCCCCTCTCCTGCATACCTGACCTTCAGGCAGCCCCTCCAGAGGGCAGCGTCCAGCCAGCGTGGTGTGCACTGCCTGGGATGAAACTGAGTGACATGTAGGCGGGAGAGGCAGGTTTCTCCCCAGGACCCCAGTCCACTTGTCCACCCGGCAGGACCCCCAGCCCAGCTCTGGCCTGGGAGAGGGCACCATGGCGATGGGCAGGAGGCAGCTGCGTTTCTTAAGGTCCTGAAAGCTGTAGCACATGCTGCATGGCCTGTACACTTGAAGGACAGCTTGGGTGGGTGTAAAATTCTTGGAGTGGGGGTGTGGTTGTGGGGTTTTCCTCGCAGCCTTTGCTGAGCCTGCCCATGCTCCCACCATGAGGAGCTCTTCTCATCCCTTCCTTGTCCTGGAGCTTGAAAGCTCCACCAAGATGTGCGCTGCTCTTGGCCAGCTTACATTACATTTTCCTGGGGTTGGTGTCTTATTTTTAAATTTTTTTATTAGGATATAACTTACATATTGAAAATTCCTACATCTTAAGTAGACTGCTTGACTTTTTACATATGTTTACTCTTATAAACCCAACCCAGTCAAGACGCAGAACTTTCCAGACCCTCCCCTTCCACTCAGTTGTCACAAGGTGACCACCATTCTAGCTTCTCTGCGGCCCTGGTGCTTTTCAACTTCAGATGAGTGGGATCGCAGCCTCAGCATGCTCCGGGTCTGACTGTTGCTCAGCATCGTGAGTTTGGGCTATACCATAGCGTGTGTCCGTGGTCGGTGCTCCCTTTCCTGCTGGGAGGCATTCCCCCTCTGTGCTTCACGCCTTCGTTGCGGAGACATCTTAGTCCCACAGTCCCTCTGGTCTCTTCTTCAGAAGACCCATCTGGAAGTGTCCTGCTTGTCTTCCCCTGCCTTCCACACCTTCGTCTCTCCTCTTATCAATTGTTCTGATCGTTTCCACTTCGTTTTTCAAGGATCCCTCAGGCCTCTCTGCCACATCCCTGACTTGACTTTGTTGGGTTAGTTCAGCTTCTTGTTGCTTCTAAAAAAGAAAAAAGCCTTTTCTTTTTATAGGAATAAAAATTAAGTAAGCAAATACATTTTCATTTTTCACAAAAGTATTTTAAGGGAGAGTTACTAAGAAATTAATAGTGGACAATGAAAGCCCAGTAAGTTAGTCTAACGTGTACTTCAAAACTTCCGAATAATTTGTCAACGGGAGTATGTTGGACTTGATCCCATTGTTACTTCTCGAGGTCGTGTGTCTCTCCATCCCAAACCTTCAAGTCATGTCCTTCCTTAGCTGGAACCCTCTGGTGGCCCCAGGGCTGTCAGTGCAGCCAGGCCCCGCTCCCTACCCACCGATCCTCACCCCTGGCACACTCTCTCCCAGCGCAGTGCCCTCTCCTGCACTCCTATTCACGCTTCAGGACCCGCTTTGACAGTGCCAGCCGCGGCTCTCCTGAGGAGTCAGCTGCTCCCTTGTCTCAGCTGCTGAGCTAGCCCTCTGCACACCGCTGTCTGGACCTGCTGCACCTCACGCCTGTCTCCCTTCTTCGCGAGCCCCCGAGGGCAGGCACTGTGGTGCCCTGTCCCCCTCTGGGTGCATCCGCAGCATCCAGAACAGCAGGAGCAGGCCTCGCGTCAGGCCTCCCTGACTCCACAGCACTGATATGCCGGGCAGGGCTGGCCTGGAGGCCTCTGGGTCTCACCATGCTGCGTGGGTTTCCCACCCTTAGGGCCTCCAGGGCGTCTCATCGAAGCCTCTCTCAAAGAGCCCACTTGTTATCGCACAGATTCCGTGGGTCGGGAGGCCGGGGCAGTGTTGCTGGGGCCGCTGTCGGGTCTCACAGGCTGCAGTCCAAGTGTCAGCAGGGCCACATCCTCACCTGGAGCCCGGGGTCCTCCCTGCGGTGCCCTGTGCCTGAAGCCTCCTCGCGCTGCGCTCAGGCCCTGGAACAGCAGAAGCCTCCCCACGGGGAGAAGCCGCACGAGTGTGGCGAGCGCTGGAGGGCGTTTGCCCGGAGGTCGGACATGGTGAAGTACCGGAGAATCCGCACCGGCGAGAAGCCCTTCGCGTGAGCCGAGTGCGGCCACACCTTCCGCCAGAGCTCCGAGCTCGTGCAGCACCGCAGGGTGCACACCGCGAGAAGCCCCACGCGTGCAGCGAGTGCGGGCGCGCGTTCCGGGCCCTGTCGGGCTTCTTCCGGCACCTGCGGGTCCACACCGGGGACAAGCCTTTTCTCTGCAGCGAGTACCGGCGCGCCTTCAGCCTCAGCTCGCACCTGATCCAGCACCAGCGGGTTCACGGCACCGAGTGAGCCGAGGCGGCCACCCGGAGGACCTGGGCCATGCAGGAGGGTGGAGGTGTCGCTGGGGACGCCCGCTGCGCCGTGCGGGGGGCGGCGTGGGTGGGCAGGCTGCTGACCTCCTGCTGAAGCTGGTCGGCACACCTCGGGCCCCCCAGTCCAGTCTTCGCTCCCCTCTGGGGCCTCTAGGTGGGACAAGTGCAGACGGGATCAGGGTCAGGGGCCTGGACGGGTGGGTTGAGCAGGGCGGGCATGCCCTTTCTCTCCTTGGGACGCCTGGCGGCCTTGCTGTTGACACACAGGCGAGGAATGTAGCCCCTGAGGGCCCCGCGGTGCCCCGACCGCAGCCGGGCGGACATCTAGACCAGGGCTCTGCCAAGGGGCCAGCGCCCCTGGCCTCATTTCAGGCAGCCATCAAGCGACCACTGGTCTCTACATTTTTAAAGGGTTATGAGAAAAGGTGAATAAGCGCAAAGCATCTGTACCGCCTGGCTCTTTACGAAACAGCGGGCGGGTTTGCTCTCCAGGTTCTTACCCCTTTTTTAGGAGGGGCCGCGGGGCCCCGCCCCTGCGCAGCTCGCCCTGCGCTGGGCGGGAGGGGGGCTGGGGGGACCTCGGGGGCGGGGCGCGGGGAGGGGGCAGGCTCCAGGCGGGGTCGCGGGCAGTCGCCTCCTGTCCGCAGCTGGGAAGGGAGCGCCGCGAGCCACGCTGGAGCCTGAAACGCGGCGCGGGGGCGAGGGCGCGGGCCCGGAGTGGAGTCTGGAAGAGGGGCCGCCTCTCCGGTAGTGGGGCCGGAGCGCAGGGTCAGGTCACAGGCCCGGGACGGAGCCTGGACGGTCCAGTGCGTAGCGGGAGCGAGGTGGGACTTGCGTGTTAGAAATGTCGCTTGTGGGAAGAGCAGCCCTCCAGAGTACCTGAGATAGTCCCCTGGGATGCGGACGGAAACCTCTCTTTCTACTTTCTAGATCATTCTTTTTACATGTTTGAATTTTCACGTGTTTTATAATATTTATAATTTGTTACAAATGAATAATACAGTGGGCGTGTCAACAAGGGTTTGCTGATGCAGCGTGCAGTGAGAAAGCCTCAGGACGCACACCGCGGAGGGCGGGCCGGTGGGCGGGCTGTAGGGAGGCTCCAGAGGGGTGGACCCGGGGACCCTGGGGGAGGCCAGAGGCGGGAAGGTCGTCAGCGCAGGTACTGAGAAAGCTGAGGGACTGCCTGGTGGTCCTGTGAGCAGGGGGGCGTCCTGTACGCGGCCACCCTTGGCCCCTTCGGTGGCACGTGGCCTGTGGTCTGCATTCTGCTCTCTGCTCTTGCGTCTGGAAGCTATTTCTGGGCCAAAAGAGGTGACGGTTCTGACAGCGACTACCTGGGCTCCTGCTGCCTGGCCTGCAGCACCACGAGGCAAAAGGCTGGTCCACTGTGGTCCTGCCCTCTCCTCTCTTCCCCGGGTCGGGCAGACACGCCCCAGTTCTCCTGAACCTGGCTGGGCCTCAGACTGGCTCTAGGCAATCAAAGGGAAGTGAGGAGCCAGCGGGGCCTTCTCCACATTCTCTGCACTCGGCCCACAGCGACCAGCGGCCTTCACTGGTGCCTGGCCTGAGGAAGACCAACAGAGCAGAGGCGGCCTGCGGCCATGACCACGGACCTCTGCTGTTTCCAGCGCAGGGACTAGAGCATGTCTGTTAGCACAGCGCAGCCTGGCTTCTCCTGACCGAGTGAGCTGTGTCCCTTCCCTTTTCTGTGGGCGAGCTCCTTCGTCTGGAAGCCCAAATTTCCTCCTCTGCAAAGTAGTGTCCCTCTCGGGGTTATTCATAGCAGAGGAGGTGATTCGCAGTAAGGGGCAGTGGAAGGCGAGCGGGCCGGTAGGACACGTTAGTGCTTCTGCCTCTGCAGCGTCCCCCGGGGGCTGAATTAGTGAAGGGACAGACCCGTGTGTGGTTGGGGCCACAGGCCCTTCATTGTGAGTTTGGCTCTCCTGCCACCAGGTCTCTCTGCCACCTCTGCACCTCTCATCTCTGCAGGTCCTTGTGTGGCCACAGGCTCCAACTGCTGCCTGGTGTTCCCCAGGTCTGACACCATCTCAGCCCAGGGCTGCAGAGGACAGAGACCTCTCTCCTTCAGCTTCTGGGAAACCCCAAGAGAGACTGGTCACAGGCCCATCCTGGGGGAGAGAGGCTTCTAGAATGACCTAAGGGAATAGAGAAACAGCACTCAGAAGGAAGGGGTGCTGTTACTGGAATGCACAAGGGAAGGTGTCCCCTCAGGTGCACCCCAGAAAAACCCGTGCACACCCGGTGACAAAGCCACCGCTCTGGCTGTCTGAACGGAACAGCTCCTTCCGGCACCTGGTTGTCAGACTGACACGTGTGGTGGGAACCCAGGGCAGTGGGAACACGTGCAGCCTTCTGGGCTCTGCTACACGTCTCGAGGCTAAGGAGGTGCTCAGGGAATGGAGGCCAGGGTGTCACTGCTGGCCTCCAGCTGCACCCTCTGAGAACAAGCTTGATATGCGATGTGTGATCTGCCCCATGGCTTACACATGAAGCAGCCCTTCCCCAGGTTTTTACAAGCTTATGAATGACTGCTTTTACTTCTGTTTGCCAAGATTTCACTTTTTTGATAAAACTTTTGACAAGCCATTTTTCCTATTATATAAGCAGATTATATTGTAGAAAATTTGGGGAATGGAGAAAAGAAGAAACAAATCACACTAGTTCACACCACGTGGCAGAAATGTACTCTTAGAATTTTTTTACATCAACACAAATTCTTTTCCCAAACCGTTTTAGAATGGTTTGCATACATTCTGTCCCTTGGCCCCATCACACTGCAGGTTCCTGTTCTGTCTCTGTCCCACTGTTCTTCACGACGTTTTCCCTTCAACCCAGGATCCATTTTCCCTTCAGTCCAGGCTCCAGTCTGGGATCATATCTTGCCTTTAGTTGCCATATGCCCTCAGGATTCCTTAGTGTGGATCCGCTCCTCAGCCTCTCTTACCTCCCTGGAGATGGTTTATTCATTGCAAGGGCAGAAATAGCAGCCATACAGTGGAAAAAGCAGACAACACCTCGACTACATGATCGGAATTATCACCAGCCAGTGAAGGGCCGATGGACACCATGTACCTTCATATGTGACACCCTGAGGACACATCATTGCAGTGTTGCAGCTGGACATGCATGACCTGTGTCCAGCTAAAAGGAAAGGGGACGAGATTGTGGAAGGAACAGGTGGGGCTTTCCAGGCAGGGGAATGGAATGAGCAGAGGCTCAGAGAGAGGCGAGAGCGAGCCTGGTGTGTTCAGGGAATGACAGCTGGCCCCACAGTTGGAGGAAGAGGTGAGGCTGGAGAGGTGGGTGGAGGTGAGGAGCCAGCGCTAGGCTTATCAAGGTAAGACCTGCTGCCATCCACGCATGGTGTGTTCTGGGCACAGCGGACAGCATGGAGCTCCCGGCTTTTGGAGAGCCAGCCTCCTCCATGGCCACCATCGATGGCCCAGCCCAGCATCGGGGGCCCCTCACCATCTGTGCTTCTGTTTGGTGAGTGGGCTGAGAACTCGGAGCGGGATGGGGGGTGGCCCAGAACAAGAGACATCTGTAAAAGTCAGATGTCAAGGGACATTGTCAGGGAGCAGGGGGATGTTTCAAGGGGCTCTCTGGGCTTGGGTTTCCTGAAGCATGTCAGAATCAGGAGGTTGAGGAGAGACTGCAAGTGTCACTGACAGGAAAGTGCCTAGAGCATGGAGACACAACTGAATGATGCCTTGGGGACATGCCACTCATAACCCAAGCCCCAGGACACAGGTCTGTGGCAGATGCCGTAATGGTATTTCAGCCGCAGGTAAACGTGGGGGCATCCATTCTGCAGAGAAACCCAAGGTTGCAGTGCCCGTGGGAAACCTGCACCCCCACCCTACGGGCGTCAGACCCCAGAGAACTCCTGCCCCAGGAACTGGGTCTTGCCAACGACTGCGCAGGCTTAGGAGCAGATGCTTCCCTGTGGAGCCCTCAGGCGAGCCCCTAGTCCTCGGAGAGACTCGCCTGGGACGTGGCTAGGCTGTCCCCAGACTCTGCAACCAAATACACTGTGAGATCATAAATGCAGGTTGTTTTAAGCCTGTAAGTGTGTGGTCACTGAAAACTACTAGTGAGGGAAACTGGGAGAGGTGGGGTCCCTGCAGCTGGGAGGAGAAAATGTGTCATGAGGGCAGAGTCGGTCATACGTGTGTTGGCTGCTGCAGCGGGAACACTCCAGGAGGAGGGGGCTGCGGTGCCTTTGGGCTTAGCGAGGGGAATCCACATGCTGGGGAACAGCAAGCGGCGGGCTCTGCCGCCTGGCGGGCGGTCTGAGGGTCCCTCCCCTGGCGCCTTTTCTCTGGCTCTTCTCCACGGGGGAGGTTTCCTGACATGTCCCCACCCGATCCCGCGCTCCCGAGCTTTTCTGCCTGCCTCCTTCCCCCACGGAGCCCCCGCCTTTCTCCATGAGTACTGCCTGCATTCGTTCATTCATTCGTTCTTTCCGCAGTCAGCTCGGTCACCAAACCCAGACTGACATCCCTGACCCCATCTCTGGACCCGGCGGGAGGCGATGGAGCCCGGAGGGGACAGAGGAGAGACCCGGGAGCCCCGCCCGAGGCGGTGCCCGCAGAGGTCGGGGCCCTGGAGGGCCCGCGGGGGCGGGCTGACATGAAGATGGCTGGGCCAAGGCCCTCGCACACGGAGGTAGGGAATCGCCTTTAGAACAGCAAAGCGGCCACGGCCGGGCCAGCAGGGTCTGCCCCACCGCCTCCAGGGCAGCCGAGCGCACGGTCCTCCGGGGCCCTAGAGCGTCGCCGGAAGTGCCCGCGCCGCGGGTTGGGGGGACGACGGCGCTTCCGGCGGGCGGCGGGGCGGCAGGTGAGCGGTTGCGGGCTGGGCGGGCGGCCGTCGCGGGGGCCGAGCCCCAGCGGAAAACTAAGGCCCGGGCGCGGGACTGCGTGTCCGTCCTGGGGTCTCGCTGCGGGAGCTGCACGTCCGCTGTGCGGAGAGGACGCGAGAGGCGGCACTAAGGCCCCGGCCAGGGACAGGCTCCCTGACCGTTGAGATGGTCTTGGGCACAGCCTCCCTGACCATTGTGACATTCTCGGGGATAGCCTCCCCTGACCAGTGTGACAGCTTCAGGGACCCCCAACCGTTGTGACGGTCTCAGGGGCTCCTGAGCATTGTGGTGACCAGTGTGACAGCCCTGGGGACAGCCTCCCTTGACCACTACGATGGCCTCGGGGACAGCCTCCCTGACCATTGTGACGGCCTCGGGGACCCCTGACCATTTGATGGCCTCAGGGACAGGTGGACTGAGAACCTCCCCTGACCGTTGTGACGGCTGTGAGGGGGTCACTTTGTCCCGGCTACTAGCATGGGTAAACCTTCTTGTTCTTTACTTGAAATCACTTTATCCCTGTAGGTCATATAGGAAGTATCCCTATAGGTCAGTCGTTGTGGACGTCCCTGATTTCAGGGCCGGGTAGGTTCTGGAAGCGAAGCCCGGTGTGATGAAGGCCTTTGTAGATCTTGAATTCCCCGCCTGCCACGTGGCATTGCTTCCCCTCCCAGGAGCCTGCCTGTCTTCCCTTTCTGGTTCCTAAGGTGCTACCGTTTTTAAGTCTTTGCTACTTTCAGAATAAAACGTGACGTTTTAAATTACATTTTTTGGGACCAGCCCTGTCGCCAAGTGGTTAAGTTGGCGCACTCTGCTTCGGCGCCCTGGGGTTTTGCCGGTTTGGATCCTGGGTGTGGACCTAGCACCGCTCATCAGACCCCGCTGAGGGGGTGTCCCATATAGCACAACCAGAGGCACAAGTGGAATATACAACTATACTGGGTGGCTTTGGGGAGAAGGAGAAGAAGAAGAAGAAGAAAAGATTGGTAACAGAGTTAGCTCAGGTGCCAATCTTCAAAAAAATAAAAATAAAAATAAATTACATTTCTTAGTTGCAAATATGGGGCTTATATTAAAAAATATTATTGGCCACTGTTTTTTTTTCTTTTTCGGATTACCAGTTCATGACTTTACCGAGTGTTCATGCTTTCTCGTGAATATGTAGTAGTCTTTATGTGTTAAGGATATGAATGTCGATCTGGGTTGCAAATATTCCTCCTGTTGTTGGAGTTTTTTTCATTTGTTTGCTTTTTACATGAAATTTTCTCAGGTGGTTAAATCTGTCCAACTTTACCTTTGGTGTCAAGCTTAGCAAAATCATTCCTCAATCCAAAATGACACCATTCAATTAATTTTTCTTGGTTTTTTGGTTTCATACTTTATATTCAAATCTTTATAATTATCAGGAAAGTTTTAAAAGCATAGCTATTTCCCCAGACATCTGAAGCTGATTGAAGGGGCTGGGCTCGTCCTCATTCGTGGAGCTGAGATGGCAGCAGGCAGCTGGCAGATGCTGCCACACCCACCTTTGCTCTGAACTTTGGGGAGCAGGGCTGCAGGGAGCCCACATGGCCTGCACAGGGTTCCCACAGAACACTAGTTTCCAGGGTCTCTGTTGAGTCAGGACCTTGATTCCTAGTGACAGCAGCGGGCCCAGTGGGGGACGTGGCTCCTTTGGCGTCCCCAGGGGGGCTCTGACCCTCGCTTCTCTGAAGGCATTCTGACCTTGCCGTCACTCTCTGTCATTTTCTCCCCTTTCTTCTCTGGTACCCAAGCAGGTGTTCCCACACCTGGTGTTTCTGCTAGGTGCTGCGGAGGAGGGTCCCCAGGCTTGCGTCTCCAGAACCCACAGAGGCCACCTTGATGGACACATGCACAGGTGAGGCCTGGCAGCCAGGTCCAGAGGGGCCGCGGGGGGACTGTCCTGGGGCTAGGGAGGTCCTAGGGGACAGCTGAGGAATCGGGCTCCCCAAGTCAGTCTGCCGGCTGCAGAGGGACACCGCTGGCCTCGGGCGGCACAGCCCCATCCCACTTCCTTTCCCCTCACAGCCCTCCTCCTCGCACTGCCCGCTGGCCTCACCTCTCCCTGCTTCCTTCCTCTGCTCTCCTGGCACACTCTGCACCCCACTCCTCTGGTCCCCTTGCCTGGAGACTTCTGAGAACAAGAACACTAATGATATCGAACCGCAAGTGAGCTCGCTCTCCCATCATGCAGCAAGGCAGTCTCTGACGCCGGGTTCAGTGGAAGAAAGTAGGAATTTTATTGCAAAGCGCTGAGCAGGGAGAACGGGTGGCTCGTGCTGTAATCCCGAATTCCCAAAAAGCTACAAGCAAGGGTTTTTATTGGGGTCTTAGGTGGGGACGGGGAGCATGTGCCCTTGGGGCTGAAGTTCTAAGAGTGCTCCGCACAGGGACGGCTGTCTCTTCTACGCGTCACGCATAGTGGATTTTAGTCTTTGACCTCTGAAGTTTACAGTCAGTCATTTCAGCTCCTCGATGTTCCTGTAAGGTGCTTAGGCAGGCAGGGGGCTGTCAGCAAGTTCCTCTCTATCAGCGTCCTCCTGCTGTTCTGCAAGGCGGGCTCAGGAACCTTGGCTATTTTGTTTCCCATGTTAACCTTGAGGGTACAAAGCACAGTTTCCCCCTAATCCAGGGTGATTTTAACTCCTTCACCCTCAGTTTCGTTAATTCTTGGCTCTGCTTCCCGGGGCCCAGCTATGTCAGTGGTCCTGGGCTCAGAGTAGGTGACCAGGAAGAGTCTGATGGATGAAAACCTGGCTAGCGTCCCGCCCATCGGCCATCTCCCTTTCCGGCTCCCATCCCACTCTGTACTGAAGAGTTAAGGCCACATTTGAGGGCTGTCAAAGCTGAGGACTCATATTCCATTTACTGTTGTTGCTATTATGACATTATATAACCAGTGCTAACAACAATGCCATCTTCCCTTAGCAAAGACACATGATTGCCTCGAGCCTTTCCCCACCACACTCTCTGATGGTTTCCACTCAGCAGTTGGGGCCTGGGCACAACATAACCACGGCTGCCCAGAACAAACACACACCCCCTGCACACCTGCACCTGATCCCCCTGAATTCAGGAACCCCCGTGTCCACGCACACATGCTCATCCCTCAGGGGCACTGCCATGGAGCTGCCCTTCATGCCTGGGACTCCAGGCCATGCCTCTCCCTCCCGTGTCCAACCTCAATCCTGTCCAGATGGGGTTCTGCACAGTCCTGCAATTTTGGACTAAATAATAATTGTAGCAAATGCCAACATACAGAGTGGCGGAGGAAGAGCAGGTCACTCACAACAAAACCACCCATTTTGAAAGGAATAAAGAGAAAACCCCATGTCTGGGTTGCCGGCCCCGAGTTTGTACCACCAGCTATAACAGCCTGAAGGAGAGATGTGGGTGGAGTGACATAGGGGGCCGTTGGATCTCACCGGCATGTTTGGTGACTGGCACCTTTGCTGGGGGAGCGAGTTTCTTCATGAGAAGGCCTGGCAGCCCCAGCTTCTGCTTGTGGGAGGACTCCTCCCCATCAGGGTTTCTCAGCCTCGGCACTGTGGACATCTTGGGATGGAAGATTCTTTGTTGTAGGGCATCCTGTGCATTCTAGGATGTTCCACAGCCTACCCGGCCTCTACCTAACCACTGAGTGCCAGGAGCACCCCCTCCCATGGTGACCTCAGAGTTTCCGGACAGAAGTGCCCTGGAGACAACGTCGCCCCAGATGAGAACCAGTGCTCCATGCTTAGGGCCCTTCAGGGCCCCTCGGAGGCTGGCACGGGAGGACACCTACACAGGGCTGCCTGGGGCACCTGGCCCGGCCTCAGGAGGCAAGCAGTTCACAGGACCGGAAGCCTGACCCGGCAGAACCAGCAGGAGAGGATGTGGCCCTCCTTGTCTTAACTCTGAATAACTTTTTCTTCATAAGTGCCTCTGAGTCACTTTCTTGAACTTCCAGGTCCACCAAACCACAAGGCCAGGGCTGGCCACCCCCGGGGGCCTTCTGTTTCTTAGCCCTTGCTTGCGGCCTCTCCCTACCTCCAGTTGCTCAACTGAACAGCCCCCTTGTTAGGGAATCAGTGGGAAAGCTCTGTGGATGCCACCCGCCTGGGAAGAGCATCCTTGCCCCCCAGCCCAGCCATAGGTGTCGTTATGACATCCGCAGTTCAAGTCCTCGAGAGGGGAGCGGCTGAGGACTTAACTGGTTCGGTTCAGTGGCTCAGGTTATTGCCTGTGGGTGGAAAAGTTTTCTCTTAACTTGGTTGCTGTGCTTGTCCTGGTGGTCCTGTCCTCCTGAGCCCCCTCGTGAGTAGGCGTCCCTGTCTCAGCTCCCCAGGCGCCCCTGCAGCACCTGGCACAGGAGGACCCTGTGAAGGCCACAGTCAGTACCCAGCATTCTGAGATCCCACTATCATGCTCCCACATCCAGAAAGCTTCTGACTAGGTGGGCACATGGTGTGTTCCCATGAGCCAACGGGACTAGTTTAACCAGATGCCTCACTGCCCAACAGTCAGGACCAGGAGGGCCCCACCAGCTCCATCGTCCTTCTCACAGGCTGCTGGCCGCTTACTCTGGGTGCTCATTTCTCGCTGAGAAAGGATTCTCTTACTTGCATAGAACAGAGTCCTTTGAGTTGGTGGATTGGGGGAATTGTCAAGGATACAGGGTTGTCTCAGGGAGTCCTGGCTTGGAGAAACAGGCTGTGCCATCAGGGCACCCTTGTCCCTACGCCTCCCGGACCTCTGCTTCAGTTTCATTCTGCTCTGCTTTGCTGCCGACCAACTTTCATTGCTTTCCAGGCCACATGGCAGAGCAGGCAGCACTCAGCCTGGTTTCTGCCTCCTTCACTCCTGACACAGGTGGACTAAGGTCAGGGGCAGGGAGGCACCCTGCTGAGCCGTCCTCCGGCCCCTTGTCTGTTCCTGTAACCACAGCAGTTAGGAACGGGGAGGAGAACTGGGCTGGATTGGGACAAGCAAAATGACAGGTGTCTGCTGCCCACTGCCTTTGTTACCATCACTTCCGTCATCTCCACAGGTGGCAGTGCCGTCTCAAGTTCACATACAACTGTATGTTGTTCAAGAGTTTTCTTATGTCTAAAGTCATACATTCCTGACCCTCTTTTCCAGCTTTTCTGGCACAGGCATCCAGTGGTGGCCATGCTTCCAGCTGTGCTGCTGAGCAAGGGGCTGAGAGCACAGGGTTGGCACCAAAGCCAGTGATGTTAGGAGAAGGGGAAAGCCATGGAGAGAGTGTGCCAGGACTGCTTCAGGGGCCTCCCCGGGCACTGGGGCTTCGGGACCTTTGTGGGATTGAGGAAGCTGGAGAGAAGCCCGGAGATCCCCCTCGGGGACTGGCTGTTTATGAGAAAGCTGCAGGGCAGAACGGCCACGGGAGCACTGTGTCTGGGTCCGAAGTCACCCTGAATGCAGGCTCTGCAATGGATGGGAGAGGAAGCTGGAAAGGGCGGCCTTATCGATGCAGCACTTGCGACAGGGGCTTCAAATGCTATTCGGATGTGGTGAAGCATCAGAGCATTCACTCTGGGGAGAAACCCTACGAATGCAGCGACTGTGGGAAAGCTTTTATCCACAGCTCACATGTCGTCAGGCACCAGCGAATTCACAACGGGGAGAAGCCGTACGTTTGCAAGGAGTGTGGGAAAGCCTTCAGCCAGAGCTTCAACCTTATTAGGCATCAGAGAATCCATACGGGAGAAAGACCTTACGAATGTCCTGAATGTGGCAAGTCCTTCAGTCAGCGGTCAGACGCTGTTAAGCACCGGAGAATCCACACTGGAGAGAGACTGTATGAGTGCAGCGAATGTGGGAAAACCTTCATTCACAGTTCCAATGTCGTTCGGCACCAGAGAATTCACCATGGAGAGAACCCCTATGAATGTAAAGAATGTGGGAAAGCCTTCAGCCAGAGCTCCAACCTCATTCAGCACCAGAGGGTGCACACCGGCGAGAAGCCCTACGCATGCCAGGAGTGCGGGCGCGCCTTCAGCCGAAGCTCCTTCCTCAGCGAGCACCGGCGCATCCACACTGGGGAGAAGCCCTATGAGTGCAGCGAGTGTGGGCGCGCCTTCCGGGCCCTGTCCGGCTTCTTCCGGCACCAGAGGATCCACACCGGCGAGAAGCCTTTCCGCTGCATGGAGTGTGGGCGCGCCTTCCGCCTGAGCTTTCACCTGATCCAGCACCAGCGGGTTCACGGCCCCGAGTGAACCTGGGAGGGGTGGTGGAGCAGGGACAACATGCCGACGAGACTGGAGGGGGCGGGGGTGACACCCGTGAAAGCTTGCCCACGCCAAGAGGTTTGTGTGCTTCGTTCCACGTGCAGTGAGGACAATAAAGCTGTCTTGGTGGCTTAGTCTTGCCCAGGCGGAAGGCTTCAGCCTGTCTGTCTGCTGCCACCTTGCCTGGGGGCAGTCGGAAGAGAAGGGCGTCTCAGGGAAGGCCAGCTGTGTCGATGGGAATGGAGGTTTTCCCAGAGGAAGGGAGGGGATCGATGGTGACGTGTCCACTGAAATGAATTGTTTCACTTTTATAGCACTGTTTTTCCTGAGGTGTAATTTACATATGGTGAAATGCATAGATCTTAAGTGTTTGGTTTTATGAGTTTTGACAAATATAACCCGTTTTGACCTTTATAACTACCACACTATGAAGATGGAGACTATTTCCATCATCCCAGCAAGTTCCTTTATGCCTCCGTCAAGTCGACCCCCTCATCCTCAGAGGCAACCAGTGAGTTCATTTCTATCACTAAAGTTTTGCTTGTTCTAGAACCTTGTATAAATAGAACATTGTAATCTTTTATGTCTGATTTCTTTCCCTCTACTTAATGTTTTTGAGATTTATCCATGTACCTGTTGTATGTCTTTTAGTTCCGTAGCACTTTTTAAAAGGCAAGAGTCACTTTCTACCTTGTGTCAAAGCTGTATGTTTATGTCTGAGTCTCCATCAACGTGTGAGCTCCTTGTAGCCAGAACGGCTGTAGCACAGCCCTGGATACAGACTGTGCGCCCCACAACAGAGCAGCAAGTGCAATATGCTGAGGAGTGTTATGGAAGAGGCACGAAGGAGAGACCATGAGGCCTGGCCACAAGGAGGCGATGACCTCGATCCACTTGTTTTTACAGCATTTCAGTGTGCAGCGTGCAGAACTCTGCTCAGCCTCATGCAGGCAGTACAAGAAAAGGAAGCTTAAGATACTTGCACTTTCAACAAATGCTTCCTAAGCCCTCAGCTGTTCTATGGGAAGCAAATCCACCATGGTATCTGCCCTCGAGGACCCTACGGGCTGAGGGTGAGACAGACGCACAGCTCTCACTGGAACGGACACCCCAGGAAAAGTCCAGTAACATAAGCATATACAGGGAGTGGGCAGCGCGGGAGAGCAGCAGACAGGAAGCCTGGCGCAGGGGACGAAACCGGGAGGAGCTCCCAGGGTGACTCCTGAGCTGGTTCTTCAAAGATTTAATCAACACATGGATTAAATGTGTACAAAGCAAAGGCTGGGGCACACGAGAGGAATGTGAAAGGGTGTAAGAAATGTGCTTATAGGACCTTGCGATTTTGTAGTTGGTGATCCAAGACAAAGTGTAATAATAGAAAACAGTGGTCTAAGTGAGCTCACTACTTGATCTGAAATCGCACATGACAATTCGACAGTGTTGTGGACACGCATACAGTCACACGCCGCAGAACGCCGTTTGGGTCAGCAACGGACCACATACACGACTGTGGCCCCGTACAGTTAGTGCCAGAGAGCCTAGGTGTGTGGTGCGCTGTGCCATCTAGGTTTGTGGGAGTGGACTCTGTGATGGTTACACAATGAAATCGCCTACCACCATATTTCTGAGAACATGTTGCTGTCGCCACATGACACATGACTGCAAATGTTACTTGCCAGATAGGGAGAGAGAGCTGTCTTTGTTGGGGAAAATATTTTGGTGCCTATTGTTAAACTCTGCCATGATGAATTCAGTGAGGTCACGTTACTGAAAGTCGACTGTAATGAACAAATCTGAGCAGTCACCTGGTGTAAGTCCTGGGGTCCGGCTCCTGATCCAGATCTGCCCTGGTCCGGCTGTGGTTTGGTGCCACTCCATGGCAGTTGTCTGCTCTAGCATAACTACCGACTGAATTATTCTGGGTCCTGGAGCTGGCTGGACTTCCAAAATAGTAGCACAATTCTAGGGCTCTTATTGGCACCTATTTCTTTTAAGATGTGAGCTTAGGGGGCCAGGGTGTAGTGGTTAACTTTGGTGTGCTCTGCTTTGGCGGCCCAGGTTTGGGGGTTTGGTCCCAGGCATGAACCTACACCACCTGTCAGCCATGCTGAGGCAGCGACCCACACACAAAAGAGAGGAAGACTGGCAATAGATGTTAGCTCAGGGCAAATCTTACACACACACACACACACACACACACACACACAGATGTGAGCTTAGGCTGCAGGGCTGTGCAGCCTGTAGGGGCAGAGTGGATTCAGTGGCACCACGGCTACTGGGCTGCTGGCTCTTGCACCAATGGTGCGGTGGGCAACTGAGCCTGGGACGCCCATGCTGAGCCAAGACCCTCAGATGTGCTGAAGGGTCCCAGGTTCGTGCTGCTCCCAGGTCCCAGGGGAAGCCAAAGCAGTCCCTCTTTGGAGCAAAGTTTCTGTCCTCAGAGCCGTGGTGCTCCTGCTCATAAGGTCAAGCAGAGAGCTCGCGGAGGTCAGCAGGCACACAGGAAGGTGAGTCCCACTGAATGAGGATCAACGCCGACAGCAAACAGTCATACAAGCCACAAAAGCGCAGGCACTGACAGTTACGCATGAAGTGTTTAAAGAAATAAGACAGTCACAGCGAAGAGAAAGCAATAGGACACTATCAGGAATGAAGAGGCAGGGATTTTAGAGGAGAACTTGTAGGAATGAGAAATGTAATTGTTGAAATAGAACTCAGCGGGCGGGTTAAAGAGCTGAGCAGAGCGTGCTGAAGAAAGCGCTGGTGCATGGAAGACGCCCAGGGCGATCCAGAGTAGCACACAGACAAGGAGACAGAGAGCAGAAAGCACGTGGTAAGGGCTGGAAGATCCAACAGGAAGGTCTGCCGTGGATCTGAAGGGAGCCCGGGAGAGAAGGGAAGAAACAGTGAAACCCGCACTGACACCCGCCCCAGTTATCCCAATTCCAACCTGCTGGGCAGATGGCTCCCCTAGCCCGCCCAGTCCCTGTCCTCCACCAGGGCCAAGGCTCAGATTTTCTGCAGGGCTGAGGATGGAGGGCCAGGCGGGGAAGCCAGCCAACCCCGTGTGGAGATGAGGCGTGTCCGCATCCCTACTTCTCCCCTGGCTCAGTCTCCCCACAGTCAGGCTGACAAAACATCAGTTAAAGGCGAGCACACTGACACTGTTCTCAGTATCCCGGAAGTCCCAGCCGTCCTCGTCCCGGAGTCACCCCCGTCAGCACTTGGGCCGGATGCACAGCTGCCCACCTGCGCTGAGGCTGTGCTCTGTCGGCCTGACTGCAGGGCCCACAGCCAACTTGCTTAGCCTCCGGCTGGCGTCTCTACAGGCTCGTTCCATCATCGTCACAATTCTGCGCTCTACAGGACTGAATTTCTTTGGATCCCACTTACAGTGTTCCAGCAAGGCTTTTCTTTATTTAATGAAAAACATAAATTCACAGATCCGGGAAGTACAATGTATATGAAGCTGCATAAATGAAGAGAGATCCACACCTAGATACAAGACAACTGAAGCAGACCAGCAAGACAAAGATCCTGAAAGAGAGCAGGGCCAGATCTCCAACAAAGGAACTAGAGTTGCACCGTCAGAGACTTCTGGAGTCAGCCGCAGAGACAAGGCCGCGGTGAGTGTCTTCAGCGTGCACACAGGACCTGGCGGCCTACACCTGGATGCCCAGCAAAATTAGTTTTCATAGATGAGGTGAAAACAAACATTTATTTATACATAAATCTCAGTTTATCACTAAGGAACTTTCGCTACAAGAACATCCAAAGTCTGTACTGCAAAAAGAAGGAAAATGCTTTCAGAATGATGGTCTTAGTTAGAAAATGGAATGTAAGCAAACCAAATGATAAATATGAATGTAATCCAAACCTTCTATGTATGAAAGAGTAACGTCACCTAAAATACTGGACAAGAAGAGCATGGGCGTTAGAAGAGGATTTAGGGGCTCGGCCCATGGCCGAGTGGTTAAGTTCACGTGCTCTGCTTCAGCGGCCCAGGGTTCGCCGGTTCAGATCCTGGGCACAGACCACACAGTTCATCCAGCCATGCTGAGGTGGCGTCCCGCACAGCAGAACTAGAAGGACCTACAACTACGATATCCGACTGTGTACTGAGGAAGACGGGCAACAGATGTTAGCTCAATCTTCACACACAAAAAAAAACAAAGAAGACAATTTAAATGGCCCAAGATCCTGTTATTGTTGTCAAGGGGTAAGACTTTAATTTTAGACTTTGACAAGTTAAATATGCATACTATAGTTTAATGTTAATTACTAAATATAAACAGTGCATATATTTCCAATCCAGTAGAAAAACAAAAATGCAATCATTTAAAATGAACAAAAACTTCTATCAATTAAAAAATAAGCAGGAAAAAAGAAAAACCTGGAAATAACTGGGCAAATAACCAAAGAGTAAGATGGCAGAAACCATCCAAACATGTCCGTGATCGCAGCAAGCCCGAGTGGGTGGCACCCCAGTTCAAACACGACGACAGGGAGGACCCTGCACCTCAGGGCCATGGTGGGCGAGTGCAGAGGGCAGGTGGAGGCCGAGTCCGCCCAGGAAGGAAAGGGACACTCGGCGGAAGCAGGCGGCACGGGACGAGCGGGAAGTGTGAACAAGGATGTGTGGCAACCTCAGGGACTAAAAGGAACTGTACCCATTAAAAAAGAACAGAATAGTGTTTCTAAAGGAACAATTCAAAAGAACGAACGAACTCTTAGAGATTAAATGTGATGGTGGGAATTAAAAACAAATTAGTGAGAAAGTTGAGAAGTAAAGTTGAGAAAACCTTTTTAAAAGAAAAAAAAGACAAGGAGATAAGATAGAAAGATTAAGACTAAGAGGAGTTCCGGGGGAAAGAAAGAAAACAGAGCGTGGTGGGAGTGAAATTATCAGAGGAATAATTTCACTGCTTCCCCCACACTGAGAGGCGCGGCACCGGAGTAGAAGCGCCCACTACCACCCTCTGCGGGGCGCGCGGGGCCTGAGGAGCGGGACCTCACAGGGACAGAGGTGGCACACAGGCCCCCAGGCCGGGCCTCAGCAGCAGGGCGACAGCCAGGACGCCCAGCAGCGCACTGACGAGGGGTGAGGATAACTCGCACCTGAAGGCCGACGCGGGTTCAGGTTATCAAGTGTGATGGTTCTGAAACAGCCTTTTCACGTGCGCAAACTCACCAACTTGTTCTTCATTCCTTTTCATGAGGCTGCTAAAGAAGATCTCCAAAATGAGGGGGACCGACAAGGAGTGAGTAGGACCCAGTAGGCAGGGAACAGCTACACGACAGACAGCCGAGAGGGACACGCACAGCGACAGCAAAAGGAAGCCCGGGCCGGGGGACAAACGGCCCGTCTCTTGATGGGAGGCGCCGCAGCTGTCTGACTGGTTTTACTCTCCTACGGTCCGCCGTGCAGCCACAGTCACTGACTCTCCTCCGCACGCACAGCAGGGGTCCTCTGCGCAAGGCGCTCCAGAGCCTCGGCCAGTGGCCACGTCGGCCTCAAAGCCATCATCTCCTGCCCGTCCTGTCTGGATGTGCGTGAGCTGCCTCTTGAGCCACAGACCTGGAAACTAAAAAGAAAGATTATCTGCCCCCAAAATAGAGTTTTAAAACACCTCCCCCCCCGTGCCCACCTCGCAGAGACCCCAGCTGCAGCAGGGACGTCCTGCCCACCCTGCACGGCCATGATGGTCCCAGTCCATCCTCAGCCAGGCCTGCTTGTCCTGGCCACCTGGCGCCGCGCACCTACCTGAGACCTTTACTGAGTGACTTCCACCGGCCCCTGTGGCTCTGTCCGGGGGTGCCCCAGGGCACAGCTGCCACACCCCCTCCCTGCCAGCACAGGTCCTCTGAAGGCGATGTCCTTGCCTGCACTCTTGGGATGGCCCCATCTGTTGCCACTTCTCACTCGAGGACACAACGACTCCATCCACCCCATCAGGCCACACCTTCCTGCCGCCAGGTTGGAGCCCGGAGGGAGAGCCTGGCCGTGGGCACACAAGCAGCCCTCTGGGGGGAAGACAGGCACTCAGGGCCCCACTGGCCCATCTGCTCAGGGGGAGAGGACAGCGTGTCTGAGGGGTCCCCGCCCAGGGCTGCGACAGTGCGTGCGGGTGGGGGTACCCAGGCCTCCTCTCACGGGAGTCAGGGACCCCCTCAACCAGCCCCAGCAGCCCCGCGCACTGTTAGCGGGTTCTAGAGACAGGCACGTGGCCACAGCCCAGCTCTTGTCCGTGGCTCTGTGCAGGAGCCCTGAGAGAGAAAGCGGCTGCCACGGCCAGGGGACGGCAGCTGGGGGAGCAGACACACTTCAAAGGACAGGGCACGCGAGTGTCAGCGACCTTCTGTATAATGACACCAAAAACACCTGCAGCAAAACATTTCATTGTACAAAATTCCCCAAGATTGCTTTAATAGTGAAAAAATAATAATAAACTCCAGTGAGGCACGAGGATGCTCGTTTAGAACTCAAAGTCTTCGCCCGCCATGTCGAGGGCCCAGGCGAACCTCTCCCTCTGCGTCTTGTTGTAGATCCTCTCCACGGGCACCCCGAAACGCTTACACCTGCGGAGAGCAGACCAGGGGTCTCAGGACACAGCGGGATGGAGGCCGGGACGCCTCGGCTCCCAGACCTGCTCCTCCTGGTCACGGCCACTGCCAGGGCGTCAGGGAGGCCTCCGAGAGTGCAAAGGGACCCAGAAGGGCAAGTGGGGTGCTCAGGGAATGCTCACGGGGCACAAGGCAACCCCGGCACTTCCACTCCCAGTGGGCAGGCTGAGCTCCTCGTGGCTGGGTGGGTGCAGGCACCTGACTCGGGGTCATCATCCCACGCCAGCTACTTGTCACTACCCGGCCTTACACTGTCCCGAAGCTCTCAGGGAGGAAGGACTAATGACACAGGACTGGGCATCAGAGACACACCAGTCAGGCAGGTCCCACCACAGGAAGGACCTGTGCTGACCACAGGGGCCACTTGGGGAACCCGGGCCCCTCCTCAAGGATGTGAGTGGGCACAGCAAGCTGGGGCCCGCGCACCAGGCGACGCTGATCCGGGGGTCCAGGTAGTTGAGCTTGGACGTGCCCAGGGCCACCTGCTTGCTCTCCTCCTTGTCCGTGGCCTGTGTGCTCAGTCTCATGAGCTGCTCCTCCAGCTTCTCCAGCAGCCTCTCCCTCTTCTCCAGGAAGCTGGCAAGAGAAGGACGGGCTGCAGGTCCCCACGGGGGCACCTGCCCACGCACTCCCTGGGTGTGGGCCGGGCCCCGGGGAGGCCTGCATTACAACAGACAGCCCTCCCTCAGCAGAAAGGAGGCGGGAGAGGGGAGCTCTGTGGAAATGTGAACCACGACAGACATGGGAAAAGGGGCAAAGGGTGACAACCAGTATGAGAGAGCCTTTCCCGTTCAGAAAAACGCTGAGCCCTCACTCCCACCTTTTTACAGAAAAGCAGGTTTCTCCAGACAGGCACCCTCTTCCCCTCCCCACACGCCTCACCCAGGATGCTGGGTAAGACGATGCCCAGGCAGGGTGGGGCCGGGCAACCTGCCGACGGCCATGAGGCCACCAGTGCCATGAAGTTTAACCCCTGCCCTTCTCCCAGGAGTGCACACTTCAAATCCACCTGGACACGTGCGGAATGACTCACGACCAAGAGGGAGTGCTGCCGCCAAAGGCCGAGCCGGCCAACCGCGGGGCAGCCTGAACAGCAAGCACTCATCCCGGAGCCGCCGAGACGCGTGAGCCACAGGTCCGGGTGCTGCTCTGACACAGCTGCCGGGCGCACACGGACACCAATGTACAAACAGTGGGTGCGACTTATGGGGAAAAGGGGGGCGGGGGAGGGAGGACGACGGGCATGCACACGTCCGGGCTTTCCGGAAGACACAGAAAGTCCCCAGCCACCCCGGGGGAACTGGAGGTCAGCGTGGATGACAGCCTTATTTTTCATTATTATGAATACTCCACGGTCTGATCACTTGACATTTCTTACACACAGCCCCCGTGTTAAAAATGCCCCTCTGCAGCCAAGGACACTTGTCACAATGAGGAAACGTTCGCACGCCTAGAACCACAGCCATTGGGAATAAAGGGACACATCGCTGGAGAGGGATGGCGAGGGGGCTCTGAACAACCGCGTGCCCACAAACCAGACGACCCCGTGAAGTGAACAAAGAACCAGGACACAAACCACCAAAACGGACGCAAGAAGAATGGAAAACGTGCACAAGCCTCTAACAAGTACAGCGATCGATCACCTCCCACGGGGACAGCCCAGGGCCAGAGGACGTCACCGGGGAACTCTACCATGCATTTAAAGAAGAGTACCACCAATTCTTCACACACTTCCACAGAAGGGAAGAGGAGGGAACCCGTCCCACCTCACTCTGAGACCAGCGTTACCCTCACACTAAAACCAAAGACGTCACAAGAAACCACACACCATTATCCTTTTTACACACAGAAGCAAAAATCCTCAACACAATCAAACCAAATTCAGCAATATATAAAAAAGATTCTACACAATGATCAAACAGGATTTATCCCGGGGATGCAAGGACGGCTGGACACCTGAAGATCAGCTCATGTGACAGACCCCTCAACAGGGAGATAAAAACATGGTCGTCTCCACAGACGCAGAGAAAGCATCTGACAAAACCCAACACCCTTCCACGAAAACCCACACCTGACGGCCTAGGGAGAGAGCAAACGCCCCCACAGATGCAGGGCGTCTAAGAAAGGCTGCGGCTGCCACGGTCCTCGGTGCGGAGAGCGAAGCTCTGGCCTAGAAGCAGGAAGAAGACGGGGCTGTCCACTCATGTCACTAGTACTCGACACCGTGCTGGAGAGTCCAGCCAAAGCAATCAGGCAAGGAAAAGAAACAGCATCCAACTGGAAAAGAAAGAGTAAACTATCTCTATTTGCAGATAACATGATCTTAAAAATCCTACAGACTCCGCTAAAAAACTACTAGCGCTAGTAAATGAGGTCAGCAGGCTGCAGGACACAAGATCAGAAAACATCAGCTGTACTCCTTGCGCACAGTGTGGAGGAGAGTTCACACAGCAGGCCCGCCCGTCCTCGGACAGGCCTGCTTCCAAGGCTGGATCTCGGGGGTCCCATGGCCCCCACTGAGGTGGCTCACTGAGCCTGACGTGCGCATACAAACATGCTCTGCGCTGCGCTCCCGCTCTCCTCGCGGGGGTCTGGAAGTTAGGGATGTGCTGGGCAGAGGCAGCCTAGGTGACCAGCCCCCGTGACAGCCCCGGGCACCAAGTCTCCAATAAGCTTCTCTGGTGGACATTTCACACGTGTCGTCACAGCTTGCTGGTAAGAGAAATGGCACCCGCCCTGTGTGACACCACGGGCTCGTGCGCTGCCTCCGTCTGCTGGCGCTCTCTGTGCCCTTTCGCTCCACTAAGCCACGGCTGTGACTGCCGAGCCCGGTGAGTCCTGCGGAATCCCTGAACCCAGAAGTGGTCTGGGGTTCAGTTCGTGTCAAAGTGTGACTCGCTGGCACTGACTGGCGGAGCCATGGCAAGAGGCTCGTCTGACAAGGAAGGAGGCCTGGGTGTCCATGGAGTCATCCGTGATGAAACGGCAGCTGGGCTGCTGTCTGCTCTGAGAGTCAAAGCTCCCTGAGGAATCTGGAAACGACAGCTCCAACCCCAGGAGGGTGGGCTCACACCCTCGGGCTGCTTTGGGCCACAGTGGCTAAAGAGAGGGAAAAACGACAGCCCAGCTCAGGCCTCGGGTTTCTGTTCTCCTCCAGGTGGGAGAAAGGGTCCCAAATTCCCAAGAGTGAGCTTTGGATGGGCCAAAAATGTTAAAAGTTTGCATCGCTCTCCCCTCCCAGTGGGAGAAAAAAAGGCTGGATCCGGAACGGAGTTCTAGAGACGGCTGCTTGGGCCCATCCCAGCTGGGATCCTCTCGGCAGCTGCCCTGTACGCTTAAGCCTGACAAGTCGAGAACTGCCAGGGGCTGAGGAAACCTGCAGCAAGAAAGAAACGGGGGGTGTGGTAATGGCTTCGTATTTTGTGGCTATTGCGTCGGGATGTTTAGTAAAAAACAGATATAATACGTTAAATGCTTGTAATTTTATAAATGCTAGATGGATCATCCCAACCAGAAAAGGTACAAGAAAAAGCGACAGTGGACACAGCAGCCTTGCCTTGCAGCTGGCGGGAGGGTTAGAATTACAACTCTAAGGGGGCTGCCCCAGGGCCAAGTGGTTAAGTTCGTGCGCTCCGCTTCGACGGCCCAGGGTTTCACCAGTTCAAATCCTGGGCACGGACATGGCACTGCTTGTCAAGCCATGCTGAGGCGGCATCCCACATGCCACAACTAGAAGGACCCACAACTAAAAATACACAACTATGTACAGGTGGGATTTGGGGAGAAAAAGGAAAAATAAAATCTTTAAAAAAAAAAAGAATTTCAACTCTGAGTACTGGAGACACACTGAGTCTCTGTCGGTGATGGTTTTTACTACGGTTTAGCCTATCGGAGTCTCTGGGGAAAGAGAGACACCGCGAAGAAGAGGCTCGCCCCAGACGAGACGGCTCTGGAGTCTGAATCGCTGGGTGGAGGGCACTGCTCATGGCTCTTGTGAGGTGAGACGTCTCAGACCCCAAGGCTGCTTTCTGGCCTGATGTGTATTTTTGAGCAGGCCTATTTCTAACCTCCAGACGGACAAGGTAATGAGGGCACAGGGAAGCCTTGTCACTTGGACTTGCAGCACCTCCGCTTTGGGGCTGCAGAAGGAAAGCCGCTGGTCCCCTTGGAATCGTGAATTCAGAGACACATGGTCTGGACCGGGTTCTGAGCAAAAACCCGACCCCGTGAGCTACGGGAGTTTCAGCCTCAGCACAGGGGAGCTGGACCGAAGGCTCCAGGACCAGGCCTCAGACCCAGGGACTCCTGCAGATTCAGGACAGCTCTGCGTAGGGCCCTAAACTGGGCAGACATCATGGCTGTGGCTGGACCAGCAGGGTCACCTGCAGATGCCCCCGTGATGAAGCCTGTTTGCTGACGGGGCCATCGGAAATCAAGCGCGACTGTGGTGCACTTCTGACACCGGGAGGGCACATCACAGGGACAGTCACACACCCCCAGGGATGTCTCGAGGCTCGTCCTGAGACCTGGCGGTCAGCGCAGTCTGCAGCGGTGGGGGCAGGGCCGGACTCCACGCTCCTAGGTGCCCGGTGCTCACACCCAGCGGGGCAGGCAGATGTGGGATGCAGCTCATGTGATCTCGGCTGCTCGCAGGATCAGCAGGAGCAAACAAACCCACACTCTTGGACGTTACATAAACCCACTTAGAACTTGCACGACAATCCAGGAGTCCGTCCTGCCCAATCGCTGGATATGGGGTCTTTCTGGCTCAGGTATACAGAAACACTTTTCTGTGGAAATGCTTTCAATCTCTCATACACAAAACCCAGACAAAAGGTCTCAGGGAGGAATAAGGATAAGTGAAGAAATGTAAAGTCACGATGACTGAATGTGAACACTGATTTTGTAACCACGAAGGAAAACCCCCTAAAATCCTGGTGCCTGCAGGGGTTGGGGGGCAGCAGTAATGATCTCTGAAATCAGAAAGGTGCAGCTGAGGCATCTGAACTGCCCGGAGCACCTGGGGTGCTGGGAGAGGACTCGGGAGCTGGCACCTGGCGTGCCCGGGCCCACTGCCGGGTGTTCTTGCCCTATAATCAATGTGAGCGGTCCTGGGGATCCTCCTAGTGGATCACTGAACCAGGGATGGTCCTGGAGACTTCCAACAAAGCTAGCAATGAGCAATCCAAACGAAATTAAGAAAACAATTCCATTTAGAACAGCAGCAAACAATAAAACACTTACAGAATAAATTTAACCAAAGAAAGGTGCAAAACTTATACTCTACAACTTTGTTGAAAGAAACTAAAGCACTAAATATCTAAAGGACATCCTAGTGTTCACAGAGCAGGAGGCTCGATCTACAGAGTCAACGCAACCCCTATCAGAGCCCGTGCTGGCTTCCCGGCAGAAAGTGACAAGCTGAGCCTACAATTCATGTGGAACTTCAAGGGCCCCTGAATAGCCAAAACAGTCTGTAAAGAGGAAAACAAAATTGGACGGCTCACACTTCCCCATTTCAAAACTTACAGCACCCAAGACTCAGTGGTACCAGCACCAGCACAGACGTGAACATGAACGGAACTGAGAGTCCAGAAAGAAACCCAAACACCTCCAACCAACTGATCTTCCACAGGGAGCCGGGGCCACTCAGTGGGGAAAACAGTCTTTCAGCAAATGGTGCTGGGACAGCAAGAGATCCACATGCAAAAGAACGAAGGTGGACCCCTACCTCACACCAGGTATAAACCTTAACTCAAGATGGATAACGACCTAAATGTAAGAGCTAAAACTCTAACACTCTTATGAGAAAACTTAGGAATACACCACAGGACCTTGGGTCAGGCAAAGCTTTATCAGACAGAGCACTAAAGAATAGCAACAACAAAAAAATAAATTGCACTCACCAAAATTTAAAAATTTTGTGCTTCCAAGGACTCCACCAAGAAAGTGAAAAGACAACCCACAGGACGGGAGAAAGTATTTTCAAATCACATATTTGAAAAGGGACTTGTAGCAGGAATAAATAATGAGCTTTTACAACCCAACAGTAAAAAGATGATGAACTGGAAAATGGGCAAAGGACCTGGAGAGACATTCCTCCAGAGACGACGTACAAATAGCCAATAAGCATGTGGAAGATGCTCCATCTCCTCAGCCTTCAGGGAGACGCAAACCACCCACAATGAGAGCCCACCTCCCGCCCAACAAGGGACTAAGTAAAGTGCTGGCGAGGAGGAGAAACCAGAAGCTCACACCCCGTGGTGAGAACGCAGAATGCACAGCTGCTGTGGAAGCCAGCCTGGGGCCTTCTGAAAATGTCCAACCTGGAGGTGTCAAGTGACCCAGCAACTCCGCTCCCAGGGAGGTGCCAAACAGAAACACACAGAAACAAACACCTGAGTGCTCACAGCAGCCTTACCCACAAAAGCCAAGAAGTGGAGACCACGCAAATATCCAGCAACTGATGGACGGACAGACAACACGCCGTCTATCGAGACAAGAGAACGAATATCGGCAACAAGGAGTGAGGCCAACGCGCACTACAGCGTGGATGAACCTTCACAACGTTCTGCTGCCTCAAAGAAGCCAGACACAGAGTCCACGTATGGCACACCTCCACCTGTGTGCAATGTCCAGGAGCCGGGGGAGGGCAGTGGGGGAGGGCAGTGGGGGGAGTGCTCAGGACATGAGGCTTGCTTCTGAGGTGACGGAAATGTTCTAAAATCCATGCTGATGATGGTTGCACAACTCTGTGAATGCGCCAAAACCACTTGTACAGAGCAAGCAGGTGAACCGGCTGTCACAAAAATCACATCTCAACCAAGCCGCTAACAGAGCCAGCAGCACCGGGCCGGAGCTCGCCTGCGCCAAGCACGGGGGCGAGCCCACTGCTGACGGGGCACGGTGGAGGCCGGGCCACGCTTCTCCTCGGGCACTTCCGTAGCCTCACTTCTTTGCACAAATAACATGGTCTGTATTTTTAAAAATCACAAAGTAATGACTGAAAAGAAACCCACAGAATTGGCAAGAGGAAAAACTAAAGCTCCCGGCCAGCCCTGACTCAACGGCCTGCGCCCTCAGGACACTCACCTTCTGGACCTGTCGTCCCCTCTGCATTTGTGGCCGGCCCGAGCCTGCTTCAGCTCCGCCTTGGCCTCCGCCACCTGCTTCTTCTTCGCCTCAATCTGCAGAGGAAGAGGGCCCCGTCGGGGCTGCTCCCGTCCCTACCTGGCCCAGCCCCAGGGACCACCATCCACAACCTGCTGGCCCCTACGCCCTGAAAGGGCCCAGCTGAGCAGGCCCTGAATCCCCACGGGCACCTGCTTGCCTAGTAGGGGTACTGGAGGGCCGACCCTGACCAGTCACTCTGTGGCCAGGGGACAGGGTAAGGAGAAGGCCCTAAATGTACCACCTGCTCCAGCGAGACCCTAGCCCCTGCTCCACTGACCTCCTTCCTGGACTAGAGGCCTTTCTGCACCAGAGGCCGAGCCAGGACAGCCTCTGGAGCCCCTAGGCAGTTCTCCCCTCAGAGAAGCCAACACCTGGCCCTGGGCAGCCCTGATTGGCCTGGAACCCCTCTGCTGGCCACGTGGCCCTGGCCTGTGAACAAGGCATTTGGGAGGGCAGGGCAGGGGGAGCCTGGCGATGGAGCCCGCAGTGGCTGGCACCCAGAGGCCCTCCCACGGTGAGCTGCCGCGTCAACTGCATGCCTTCAACTGGAGATTCTGCATCGACTTCTCGAAGGTCTTGGGAGTTGCCCGCTGATGGTTGCAGAGAATGGCCACAGCTCGGTTTGCTCGGTTGTAAGACAGAATCTTCGCAGCTACACTGTCTTCAGCTGAAAAACAGGAGAGTTTGTTACAAAGTAGTGGCCACAGGACAACACTTCATGTGAGAGTCCTTCCCCTCACTGAGGACCTTGACTCTGTGGACAAGACTGAGCGTCAGAGGTAGGCAACCTGTCCAAGGGGCCCACAGACCAGGAGCACAGCTGGGGACCACCACCACAGGGGAGTCAGGACAGCACCCAGGAGCCTCCAGCGGAGGCCCAGAGACAGGCTGAGCTTGGACAGCCGGGCAGTAGGTCAGAAGCTGGCGGGGAGAGGGTTCCAACACACGATGGGGACGTGCAGAGCTGGGCAGGGTCTTCAAAACCGACTCTGCTGAGAAGCAGACGATAGATGGGGCGAAGCCTAACTGTGTGGCTGTGGGGTTGACGCATTGAAGAAGGGGGTGCTGAGCAGAGGTGGCCCCCAGAGAGGCCGCTGGCCAGAGCCAGGAGCAGTGGGCCCTGCAGGTAAGACACATCCTATAGAAGATGTCTGGGGTCCTGAAGGCCACTCACAGCTCAGACGAGCACTTCCCTGACCTCTGACTCCATCCAAACCTGGAGTGTCCCCTGGGGCCAGGTGGTCTCTACTCCTCCCCTGGACACCGGCCACACAGCACCAGCCCATGACCAGGGCCTGTTCTCCCCAGAACAGGTGGGGCCAAGCTCACCTCTGGTCAGGGCTCGCAGCTGCTCCTGCAAGGTGACGCTGGCATTGTAGGTGCGGAACACTTTGGCAGTCAGGCCGTCCATCAAGTCCTGAAGGTGCTTGTTGAGGCTAGTAGTCTAAACACGGGGGAAGAAAGGTGGGTCTAGGGATGTGGTTTCCTCTGGGGACAGTTTCTAACATTCTTCCCAGCCTCCCTGCCTTGTGCTTCCAGAAGGAAGAAATGATGGGGGATTTTAGCTGGTGATTAGGACAAGGAGACCCTCAACCTTCTTGAGCAAAATGACATGCTAACTCGGTGCTCACACTCTTCCCATCTCATCAGACCGGCCGTTCTGGACACGAGCAGGCCGTGCAGCACTGGCAGTCCCTGGGTCACCCCCATCAACACTGCTTTTGAAAACACACAGACTTACGGTCAGTCTGTCAAAGAGGTCGTCCCCACGGCTCTTGTTCTCCATAAACAGCTGCAAATTCTTGTACACCTGGGACACAAAGAAGACCTTCAGCCCAACAGAGCCTTTAAAAAGGCTCACATGTGCAAAAGAGAGAAACAGCCTGTTCTGGAGGAAACAGAAGAATTAAATGAAGGACCTAAAGGGACATCTGCGCGACTAGAATCTGGAGACCAGCGACGGGTTTTCTTTTAGGAAGGTGGTCTGAACGCGCGACCTCTCCCGTGGGCCACTCAGTACATCTCAGTGCTGTGGTCACGAGACTGGCGCTGTCTCTCCCTCCCCACGCCCCTGGCTCCTTCCTCCAACATCAAAGCTGGGCTTCCTCCAGGCGACCCTGAGTCCAGGGCCTGTGCTGGTGACATGGTCAGACTCACTTGATACCACAGGGCCTCAGGGGACCTTCATGGAAGGCCCTTTTGTCCCATTTCCCTCTACCGGCCACTTCCAAGAGAGGGAACTCACGCCCTCGCGAAGAGGCAGTCCTACTGGGAGAAGCTCTGCGCAGGCCGTGCGCACGCTGCACACCCTCACTTTTTTCAGTCCCTCTGGGGGCGGGCAAACATCCTCACGGTTCACATCGGCCTAGACCCTGTCTCTTCAGCCAGCTATGCTGCTCACCACCACTGGGGACATCCCATGCAGCTCCAAATATGCCTCACTTGGCTGGACACCAGGCGACCAGCTACAAAGTGACCGAGACAGCCCTCACGCTCAGCAGACATGGCAGGAGGCCCAGGCACCATGTCCTCCAGCTCTCCCAACCACCAGCAGAGGTGGCAGACTTGCGAGTGGGATTAGTGGCTTATAAAAGAGACCCCCAGAGCGCTCCCTCGCTCTCCCACCATGTGAGGACACAGAGAGAAGGCACGGCTATGAGCCGGGAAGGGGGCCCTCACAGGACACGGCCAGGCCGGCCCCCGATCTCAGGCTCCAGCCTCCAGAACGTGAGAAATAAATCCTGCTGTCTGTGAGGCACCCAGTTTGTGGGGTTTTGCCTTGCAGCCCGAATGGAGGCACGGTGTGAGGACCTTCTGTTAGGAAACCTGCCTCAGTACCATCTTACACGGTCGCCTGATACCCCGTGTGCAGACAGACCTGACTCCCCTCCCGCTTTGACTCCTCTCCAACGTGGCCCTGAGCCTCTCTTCCCCTAGCCTGTCGCCATCCTACTCGGTATTGACCGAGAACAGATTCCAGAGCCGCCCGCTCAGAGGCCCTGGCACGCAGGGCTCTGCTGGATCACTGCCTCCCAAGCAGCTGCGTCCCTGCCGCCCTCGACTGTCTCCCCACACCTCCCACTCCGTTCTCAGGTGGCCCAGCCCCGGCTGCTGTGTGTGCTTGTAAGGTGCCGGCGCCAGGGCTGGGTCTCTTCTGTGTTGCTACAGCATGGTGCCCACCCAGACAGGAGCCAGGGCGACTTGCCACTCTCGGGAACACCATTCCAGGAGGAGAGGATATTCCCCAAATTCCAATTTCTCTTCATTCAAATCCCTCTGCAGACCAGAAACTTACCCATCCTTCCAGACCTCATCCCTCCCCCCACCAACGTGGGCCAGCCCAGGCGCTGCGGGCTCGGTGGTCAGCCAGCAGGCTCGACCCCTGGACCACATCGTTTAGAGAGGAGACCGGGGGCACCACAGGATACCACAGTGAGCTGCATGGCCCCGGGCCAGGAGACCCTTCACAGGTGTACTGGGGTGAACAGTGTCCCCCCCAAATTCATGTCCTTCCCAGGGCCTCAGAATATGACCTTCTTCAGAAATAGGGGTCTTTGGAGATGTAATTAGTTAAGATGAGGTCACAGTGGGGTAGGGTGGGCCCTAAATCCAACATGACTGTGTCCTTGTAAGAAGAGGAGAAACACAGACACACAGAGAGAAGACGGCCACGTCATTGCACACCCAGAGACTGGAGTGATGCAGCCACAGACTGGAGAGATGCAGCCACGAGCCAAGATGCCAAGGATGGACAACCACCTCCAGACACCAGGGGAGAATGGAAGGATTCTCCCCAGAGTCTCAGAGAGCACGTGACCCTGCCAACACCCTGGTCTCGGGACCCTGGCCTCCAGAGCTGCGTGTTGTGGTACCTGTTCCGGGGGCCCTGGCTAACGCAAACACCAGAAGAGCGAATGACGAAGCTGACGCCTAGAGAGAGGGGTCTAGTTCAGCCTATGTTGGCGTTCACACCTAACCCGAGTGTACCACCCAGAGGATCACAACGAGGAGAAAGCCCCTCCATCCTAGACGAGCCTCTCACACACAGCAGGCCTTGCCTCCAAGCAGGACAGATCTGGCAAACAGGCCGTGTGCTCCTGCTGCGTGTCTCTCACACTCCCTGAAGACTTGAAGAGAAAAACGAGAAGAAGGTCCAGAGCTAAAGGGCGAATACAGAGGTACAAGACTGCTTCCCTCCCTGAACCCGGCCGCTGAGCGCACGCGGGCACTCACAGGCTTCTCCACGGGCACTCTGTTGTAGTAGCGGATCGAGTCCTTTCCCAGGAAGTCCAATTCCACAACGTGCTGGCAGCCGTCGGCCTCTGGGTACAGCTGGATGTGCTCCACGCGGAGGGAGCAACAACCCACCGTGTCTGCCGTCTCACCCTCTTCCTTCTCATTCCCGGCTCTCAGCGCCAGCTGGTCAGGGGTGGGCCCAGTCAGGGGTGTGGTGTGTGTACACAGGCACGCGCACATGCGGGCACACACGAGCAGGCACACACACGCCCCTCTATCAGCCCAAGGTTACAGCTCAGGACACGAAGTCCCGCTGTCCCCACAGCTGCCCAACCACCTGGGTCTTTGTGACTGGAGCGTCTGTATGCACAGCAGCCGAGAAGCCAGGGGCCACCGCACCTTATCGATGAAATAAAGGGCCACCGCGCACTGCCTCTTCTTCATTTCTCGAGACTTCCAATCTGCCCGATACTGAGAACGGATCTCATCCACAACCCCTTTCAAGCGTCGAGCTACTTCATACTTTTGCCAATCTTTCTCCCCCTAAACAAAGAGAGTAAGTAGCACAAGAAACCCTGTGAGATAAGGAGACACCATCGGCTCCACCCCCGAATCCACGGAGACCCCCCGACCCTCCCGTCTGCAGCTTTGCTGGGCAGGGGCAGTGCTGGCGAGCAGAGTCTAAACTCAGCAAAATTTAGCATGAACGTAAATTTTAGCATGAACGCGACCACTAAGCACAGTATGACTTCAAAATTGGCTCGTTAATTCCTACCAATTTCAGGGAAATCCTTGCCAAAGGCTAGAGAAGGTGTCGGTCTCCTCATCCACCCTCCTGAGTGGACACCGAGCTCTGGAGCCCAGGAGGGGCTCCCTGGGAGGGAGGCGCCGCCAGCCGTCCTCACCTTCAGCTTCGAGCTTGGGTTCAGCATGACGTACTTGATGGAGTTCTGGATGTTCTCCGTCCACGACGCCAGCCACGTGACCGTGTTATCAGAGCGCACCTCCTTCCACTGGTGACCTGCTGGGGGCTTGGGTATCTTTGAGTCCCTGCAGCAGAAGTGACCCAAACGTAAGAATTTCAAGACCTTGTTCTCTGAAATATGAGCAAAATGACCCTCTCTGGGTGACTGCTGGCACCCAGCCACACGGCCACGGCGGCCCAGGGCAGGTCTCGGCCTGAGTCTCAGCTCCGGGCCGCCCGCCCAGCTCCCCAGCCCTCGCCCCCCACTGCTGCCTCCGCCGCTTCTTTCAGCTCCCTCATCGCGGGAGTGTGACGGCTCACTCAGAGCCTGCCATGTAATGCAGCTGCCCACTGCCCCTGTGGAGACAGGACGGCATCCCCAAGAGGCCTCAGGTGTCCCCAGGAGCCTCAGCAGCTCTGGAGGGACACCAGCTGCTGCCAGGCTCCTCACAGCACTGGCCTGTGGGGAGCCCTCTGCCTGGGCCTGCCCCTCACCCCACGCCACCTGCAGCTAACGTAATAGAAACTACCAACAGAGTGCGTGATCCACCCTGTACTTGCTAGAACTTTCTTCCAGTAAGTTCGAAACCGTCACACGTTATTGGACTACCCTAAAAATCTGAGATATGGAAAAAAAACGTTGCAAATAGGACAAACTTTCTTGGTGGGGTAAAATCTCAAGCATGCGGTGGAGCAATGAGGGTCAGTCAACGCACAGGCTGCAGCAGAACTCATCAGCTGGCAGGAAAGGGGGCCCTGCCCCCAGCTCACAGAGCCGGCTGGAGGCGTGGGGTTACAGTGACACACCTGCCATGTACCCCACTCTCCCAGAGGCATGCGAACGGCCCGAAGCATCCAGGTTCCGGCGCTCCCCTCCGGGCCGTGTCCTGCAGCGCCCCCCACACCTGCTGCAGTTGATGGTCACGTCCTCTGGCAGGATTCTCCTCTTCAGCATCCCCATCTTGGGGTGGTCACCGCGGCCCCGGAACAACCCGGGGGGCTCCGTCTTGAAATTGCCTATTTTTTCTCGGTGCCCATCTAGAGTACAGTAGCCAAACTCTTGCTGAAGCTTTTCTGCCTCTTCTTTTAACTTCTGAATTAACAAAATAGTACATAGACATTAGTGGTGAAGAGACAGAACAAACCTAAATGCCATGTGGTTACCCCAGGACTTGGTCCCACTTTTGGGGGGTTAGGCAGACTCGTCAAAGTCCCTTTGCTCTCCACAGGAGCCTGGGAGGGCCCAGCGAGGACAGCCTAGAGCGCAGAGCAGGGTACCCTGGTGCCACACCCTCACACCCACAGCCGTCCTGAATCCACTGTCATCACTGAGGGTAAATATTTATCCCACTGTTTCCCACAGCGGGCTTATTGTCACCCGTGCTCTGGGAACACTGAAGTACTTCTTAAACCGATTTAGAGACACATAACTCGAAAGCGATAGAACAGAATGATTGAGGCCCCTGAACTCCATCTTCTCAGGGGACCCTCGTCTAGAAGAACCCCATAGGAAACAGCTTTATGAGATAATGCGGTCGTTTATTCAGCCTGCACGTGAGGCCACGTGCACACCAGCAACCCCGCGCCCTAAGGCCCCAGGAGCCTGACTGGGCCTGGAGCGGCTGCTCGGGGCCCACGCAGTCTGACCTGTTTCTCCTCCCTGGACAGGGCTTTCCGGGCTGCAGTCTTGTCCACAAAGTATCTGTGGATCTCTGTGAAGTCACACTTGTCCAGGTGCTTGATGATTTTCCTCTCTTCTGCTGTCATTTCCTGCACCAAAACCACAGATGTACACACTTTCATCACCTAAAGCAGGCATGTTCATGATTGGAATGCCGACATCACTCACGTGGGTGTCAGGGACCCTTTCCCAACCTCCCCCCCCAGCTAGGGGCCCATTCCACAGGGACAGTCGTGACATCCCAGGAGGAGGAGGAACGGACTCTGGGCAGACAGCGCCAAGGCCACCCCACTGAACTAACAGCCTCCACAGCCATCCCACCAAGAGCGGCTTTTCAGGCAAGAGGGCAGGTGGTGAGCCAAGGTCCTGAGCTTCCTCCTGGTGGCTTTCTGAGCTGGCCCACGTGGCCTCCTCTGAAGAACAGCCCCCACCCAGGCTGCATGTGGACTGTGGACACGTGGACAGGACTGACGGCGTCCCTCACTCACTATTCAGGTCCTGCCCACTTTGCACCACTGTTACACAGATGTATTGCAGACCTGCATCTGTGCACCTCTGCCTTCATCGCTGTCAGTGACTGAAAGAAGCACTGACAGAAGAACAAAGCTAGACAACCAGCACAACCAGACTCAAGCCTTCCCCCAGAGCTGCAGGCACGAGGGCAGTGTGGTGCTGGCATCGAGGCCGAGGAGCAGAGTCCAGACAGACCCAGGTGTGGACGGACAGGAAAGCAGGGCCTTCAACAAGCGGTGCGGGACCGTAAGACACCACATGCAGAGAAGGCGCTCCGGGCTGCACCTCACAGCAACCCAAATCAGCTCAGGTGTTGACCTAAGTGCACACAAACCTACAATAAAAACTGAAACTTTAAAACTTCAAGAAAACAGCTCAGAAAAACCTCTGCGGTCTCAGGTTAAGGCAAAGGTTCCTCGACATGACACCAAAACACAATTTACTACAAAAAAGAATACATGAGACTTCCCAACATTTAAAACTCCTGACCTTCAAAAGACACTGTTAAGAAAATGAAAACATAAGCCACAGACTGGAAGAAAATATTCACAAATCATATCTTTGATCAAACACTGCTAAACTGAACTGACCAATGAAACTTTTCTCTTCATCCAAAGAGAGAAGGTGAGACGGCCACAGACTGCGGGACAAGATTCACACTCCATGCATCTGACAGAGAACCTGCATCCAGAAGACATCACGAAAAACTCCTACAGACCAGTAAGGAATATGCCAGCAACTCAATTTTTTAATGAACATAAGTTCACAAAAGGAAATGGGAAAATAAGCACACAAGAAGATGCCCCCATCTCTGGTCATTAGGGAAAAGCAAGGTCAAGCCACAGTGAGACCACCGCGCTCCCCAGCCTGGTTGACACCGCAGGCCCTCTGCAACCCCGCACACATGCTGAGAATGCACGTGGACAGGCGCGGGGGAACACTGCATGGCGCTTTCCAGTACAGCCAGACACAGACAGCCTGTGACCCAGCCTCCCACCCTTGGTCCCTGCGAAGAGGTCAGTGCTCGAGTCCACACAACGACCTGGGCCAGAATGTCCTTGGCAGCTTCCCTTGTGACAACCAAAACCCAGAAAGGACCCAGATGCCCGACGATGGAGAAATGGACACGTGGTGTGTGTGCCCACAGTGGAGCATGCCAGCAACAGCCAGCACCCTGGGATGGACTGCGCTGGTGTCACGCTGAAAGAGGTCCTGGGAAGGGCCTTGGAGCGTTCTGCCATTCTCTGTGTGGAGTCCCAAGGGTGCATGCACATGGGAAACTCGATTGAGCTGTTTGCCAAGATTAGTGCAGACTCATGCCTAACTCAATTTTCTAAAATAAGAAAACAGCCTTAACATAGCACCTTATCTTCAAAGAACTTCCTGCCAAATGTTTGTTTCCTGAGGGCCAGAAGGTGCCACTGCTGGCCTCCTGCCATCTCTCCTTCTGAGAGCCATCCCTGTCCTTGCAGCTGTACCTGGGGCAAGGTCAAGACAAATCTGGCTCGCTCCCTCTGCCTGCCTCTCCAGCGGCTCCTGAGAGAGGAGAGGCCGGGCAGGGCAATGTCGACAGAGCACTAGGCCATCTGAGAAAAGAGGGTGGCCAGCAAGAGCTCAGTCAGGCCACAAGAGGCAGCAGCTGACGGCACCTGGCCCTGGTGTGGGGTCCAGGACAGCTGTCGCGCTGCCCACAGCACGTACCTTCCGCCAGTCACTGAAGAAATTATTTTGGAAAACTTCTTTTGTTGTATATTCATGATCCAACATTTTCCCATAAAACGTGGCAACCTCCTCGGCTGCTAAGCTCAACTTCACGGGCTTTCCTGGGGACATGAGAAGATGTGCTGATGTAGGAGCCACCCTGCCCCACGCCCAGCCTGCATAACTCTGCTCTTTTAAATCACACTGTATTACATATTGAACCAAGAGCAAGGCATTCTAGTTTTTTAAAGCTCAGAAGCACATTCTAAATTTAAAAAGATTGGTGCCCCTGTGTCTGGGTGGCCACTGTAAGCATCCTCGAGTAGGTGCTGGAGCTTTGCGTTCTGTGGCCACCATTATTCACATTCTTCCTGCTGTAACATTTTATTTTGCTACCACACTTACATGGAAACTTATGGTTCAAGAACAATTTTAAAGATTTCATTTTTCCTTTTTCTCCCCAAAGCCCCTCGGTACATAGTTGTATATTTTAGTTGTGGGTCCTTCTAGTCGTGGCATGTGGGACACCGCCTCAGTGTGGCCTGATGAGTGGTGCCATGTCCGCGCCCAGGATCCAAACCGGCGAAACCCTGGGCCACCACAGCGGAGCGCGCGAACTTAACCACTCGGCCAGGGGGCTGGCCCCCTGCGATTTTAAAACACACAAATTTCCACATAATTATAAGCAAAATAAAAGTTAGTCTTCAAAGTAGAAAACATGAATAACTGTAGGTGTTGTGACCTTTTACACATCTTCACCTCTTTGCCCAACTATTTTCTACATTTTATTCTAAAATCAGCAGGGATTAAAGAGGCGTGCCAACGACGAACAGGCGGTTAAGCAGCGGGAACGTAACTGTGGGGGTGGGGTATTCATCATGAAGCTCCTCCAACTTTTCTGTATGTCTGAAAATTTTCATAACAATATGTTGGAAAACTACATATGCATTAGTTTGGTAATAAGGAAAAAGGCATTCATGATAAAACAGCAAAGTTCCTCCCCAAACTAGCTTCTCAGGAGGACGGAGGACACTATGAGCAGCCACGGCCCAAGGGGCTCGGCTCCCCGTCCTCTGACCTGCAAACACGCCTTCTCTCCGGGGCTGGGCTGGCGCAGGCCAGCCTTGGCTCCCACTTCCTTCCCATCTGGTGGAGGCAGGCTCTCCATGGAGCAGGAGAGGCAGAGGGGCAGCAGGCCGCGGCAAAGGGCTGCTCCAGGCACAGAGCTGGTGCAGCGAGGCCCTTGGGTTGCCTGCCGCAGCGCTGTTCCCACCAGGTGCCCACGCAGCAGTGACAGCACAGCCTGTCATGGAATTTACAGTCAAGCTCAGAGAAACAGATTCTAAGCCAAAAAGTACATCAACCAAGTTGCAGTAAGCAAGGAAAAAATGTGGCTGAGTCCTGGCTGAGCATCTACTGAGGACATGCCTGTGAGCGTGACTGGGCAGGAGCCCACGGGAGGTCACACGATTCTCCAGGTGCTAAGTGCTCCCAGAGCCCCAGCCATAGAGGGAGGCCTCCCTGCATGGCCGCCTTGCAGGAGGGGGACTTGCCAGCAGTCAGGGCGAGCCTGGAGGGGGCTGCACAGGAAGCAGAGGAGCGGCGTGGCCAGGTTGGCCCACGCACAGACAGGGCGACTGCAGGTATCATGGGGGCTTGTGTGTGCGTATACATGCATGGGTGTATGCGCCTGCACATGGGTGCCTGCATGGGGGCACACCTACGTGTGTGTGCGCACAGGCACGCATTTGCACATGAGTGCATGTGCCCATGTGCACACAGGTGCTGCCGAGGGCCTGGTCTGACCCAGGAGAGGAGGTCTGTCTTCAGGACTGCTCTAGCAGAGACGCAGAAAGTGGGCTGAAACAGGTAAAACCAGCAGCACAGGACCAGGCAAGAGCTCCTGCCACAGTGAGATGGCGAGCACGAGGGCCAAGGCAGCGGTGGAGAAAAGGGCCCACTGACCCCAAGCCCTCGGGAGGAGTCGGACAAGTCCCACATTCTGACCCCCAGGGTGGCTCAGCGCTCACAGCCCTGCAGTACCCAGCCCAGTTTCTCATGAAGGAGCAGAAACTGGGACCCTGCGAGCAGCACAGTCCAAACAGCCAGGACGCAGAAACCTGGCCACGCCCAGAGGGCCAGTCTAGGACACAGCCCACACCAGCCTGGGGCACAGCAGGAAGGCAGGTGACAGAACTGGGGGACAGCGCACACCCCACCACACTTGGCCCACCGTGCGCCCAACGTGTGTCCCCTCCAACTGCCAACTACCTGTACACACCAGCGGTCTCTGAGAGGGTGCCAGGCTGCAGGTGCCCGAGAGAGCGAGGGAGGCTCTGAATCCCAGACCCAGCAGTGGCCTCTCCTGGAGCCTAAGCAAAGGTCCAGCGCGTCTCCCAGGGGCCGACCGTCTGACCGACGAGGAGTGCTGCCAGCACGGGGCGGCCCAACGCCAACTCCATAACCCTCCCCCAGGGGATGCAGGCGGAGCGCCAGCAGGCGGAGCAGCACAGGCCAGAGGCAGCTCTCTGTCTGCTCCAGGTCACCGGACACCACACTGCCTTCGCCCGCAGGCGCATGCGCTCCCCTCAGGTCACTGGGGCGGGTCCTCACCGTCATAGTAGAAGTGAACTCCATCAGGAAGGGGCTCGTATGAGGGAGCGAAGTACGGGCCTTTGTGCTCCAGCTGTTTCCATTTCACTCCATCTTGGCTCTTCTCCTCTTCCCACCTGGAGGACAAGATGGTCTGCTTTTCCTCACACTGCACCTGCACCACGTGCCAGCCAGGGTCAAGCCTTTTCTGTGTGTCCCTCACGGACTCCCCTCTGTGACTCCACACAGGCGGGCGCTGTGGCCTCTACCACACAGCTGAGCAGGCAGGCAGGCAGGCAGCTAGGGGCGACCTCAGACCATAGTCCTAGTCCAGTGACCACACCTCCCTCTCCACCCAGCTCAGATGTGCACGAAGTGGCCAGTCAGCACAGGTGCATGAGCCCAGCTGTGGGGAAAGGGCAGGGGGACTCCTCCAAGGGCCGTACCCAGCTCGGTCCCCTGAAGGCCAGCCCAGAGTCCCCCGGACCATCTCTGGAGGCCCCTCCTGGAGCCATGATGGTTTGCGCTTGCAACCATTTCCTCTGCTAAATCAAGGCCCCGCTCGGTGCTGAAGAGCCCTGCCTTGGAGGCGCTGGGTGGAGGGGGAGGAGAGGGGCTGCCTGGACCACAGGGGAGCCGAGTCCCAGCCCACAGAGGAGAGGGACAGAGCAGATGTCCAAGCAGAGAGGCGGCCCAGGGGTGCAAGCCTCAGGGACTCTAGGGAGAAGTCTGCTGTTGGCTGTGGGGACAACTTGTATGGCCTGACACAACCCCATGAAACTGGATGGACATGACCTCTGAGGCTCCCTGCCAAGGTCCCAGCTGCAATCAGTCCCCAGATCTTCCTGAGACAGTGTGCTGTCTGCAGACAAGAGCCAGCCCCGGAGGCAGACAGACAAGGCCCCATATGGCACCACACCAGGGCCAGACTCCACATGAAATCATCACCTATGCCCCAGGGACCGAGGGTCTGCTCTGGGCCAGCACCACACCAGGCCCCAGGGACACAGATGACCAACAAGCCCCTTCCCAAAGAACCTTAGAGAGGAAATCAGATGAATTCAGACAGACACACCTTGGCTAAGATGAAAGGGCAATGGGGTGGGGGTAGATGGGGGTGGGTGGGGGTGGGTGGGCAACCCTCTGCCAGCTCAGGTGCAGCTCTATGAAGAGAGCTGGGAGAAAAGCAACTCCCAGCATAAGGAACAGCAGGTGCAAAGGCCCCACATGGCAAGAGCTCAGCCTGACTGGCAGCACCAGTATGGTGAGCAGTGAAGGAGGAGGGCAGAGCAGGAAAAGCACTCCCGTGTGGCAGGGCACAGCCTTCCAGACAGGCGGACACTGCTCTCGGCACTAGCCAAGAAGGCAGGTAACCTGCTCAGCTCGGACACCCGGGCACGGGGAGACCCACGCTTAGCCCTGAGCACAGGCAGCCCATAGATTCAGCTACGAGCAGCAGGAAGTCTCCGAAGGGTTGGAGACGGAAAGGGACATGGGAAGACACATCTGTGAGAGGGTCCTGCTGGCTGTTTCTGCAAGGAGAGATCAGGCAGGAGAGCAGGGCAGAGGGGCTGCATCTGGGTGGAGCCTGTAACCTGAGAAGTTGAGGGTTTAAGAACACTCTGGAGTAGAATCCAGAGGCTCTGGTGATCGAGTGCATGTAGGTGGTGAGGGATAACAGAGGGGAGCCCCCTGAGGCCCTTCCTGGGGTTGGGGAGGGGGGTAAGGGAGCAGAAGAGCCTGTTGAATTCTGGGAGGTCACCCGCCACACGAGATGGCACCACTGTCTCAAGGCTGTTGGATCCTTACCCCACCACCCTGTTCCAGCGCATCTAGGGTGGCGCTGATGGTGCACTCTAAGCGCCGCTAAGGATGTAAACTAAGATAATGCTGTCTTATCAAATCAATGGAAGATGCATCCATTTTCAGATACCAAAAACCTGTGTGCACCTTGAGAGTGCCAGGCAGTAAGGGGGCTGAGCATTCAGCACGTACTAGGCACCATGCTGAATCCTTCCCAAAACCTCCACTTCAGACAAGCATCCTGAGGTCAAGGTCTGTGAGTGGGATCTTTGCTCATGTCCTGCCCTTGCCACTCACTGGAGCACTGCACACCTCAGTGACATTCTTCTGTCCCTCCACAGACTCCGGGACCAAGCACTGCCACAAGAAGCAAGCTCATTCTGAAAGGGAGATCTCCCTCCAACCTATTTACCCAATCTTGTGCAGCTGCAATTCAGCAGCTCTTTCTGGAACGCATCTGCAGAGGGAGGTGCGCCAGCTGTGCAGGCCCACTGTCTTCCCAGGGCCCCTCCTCCCCTCCCCAGGCTCCTTCGGCCCATCGTGCTTGTGCTGGCCTTCCTCCTCAGCAGAGCCTGAGCTCCCAGAGGCGCACAGGGCCTTCCTGCTGTGTGGCCTTGGGCGTGTTTTGGCTCCTTGGCCGTAAAACGGATGAACTGATAGTACTCAGGCCACACCCAGGCAGGGCTGACCAGACCACTGTGAGTCACTCAGGCACAAACGCACTAAGTTTGCAACATGGGAACTCTGATGCCTGGCAGGTGGCAACCCCCCCCAACTTCTTGGAAAAGCGGCATCTCACGTAGAGGGGAACCCACGTCATGCCCGCTATTTAACCCCTGACCCCTGTACACACCTGCAGGACCTCTGCCCCATGTGCCCCAGGGCGGAGCTTGGGAGCACTGGCGCAGAAACAAGCCTTAGCAGGGAACACAATGGCCACTAAGGGGGGACTGGACACATGGTATGTGCCCACGAAGGAATGAACGAAGCCCAGCTTCTGGAAACACGGAGGAACTGAGAAGCCAGCGTGGGATGAAAGAGCCAGCGTCAGACCAGACAGGAAATCCAAAACCAAACACTACAGCGCTTAGGCCACGTGCAGCTACATAAGCAACGAATCTCAACAAACCGAAAAAAAGAACCAATAGGGGAAGAAACTCCCAAATGGGGCACCCTCCCGGGATGGGAGGAGCGGTGAGAAGGGGCGGGGCCTGCACCTCCGGGGACAGGACGTCCAAGGGTGGAGTCAAGAAACAGCACGTGCTGCCTCTGTGCTCTCGAATTACATTTAGGGAAACTCAAGAGCAAGGCCAGCCGCAGGGCCTGTGCTCCCCTGAGGGTGCTCTGCCTCTGGCCCAGAGGAGCGGTCAGGGAGGACCCGGTGTGGCCGCCCTGACTCCCCTGCCTGGTGTCCTCGGCCGCCTTACCTGGCTCTGCTGCCCGGCACTCCCACCCTCCGGCCCTCTGCGCAGCGCGGGGATGCGGGGCGTTCCTGCGCAGCCTGCTCCTTGCCCTCCCCAGGAGCAGGAACCGCAGGAGCTCGCCGACCCCGGCCCCCGCGCGTGCTCCGTGGACGTGGCCTGGTGAGTGCGCCCACCTGGGCTCTTCCGCCAGCGCTGGGAGGGACATCTCCCAGGCACAGGCAGCTGCACTGGCAGGGCCACTCCGGCCGCTGTCCCCTCATCCCTGTTTCCCTGTGCACTTGGTCCAGCCTCCTGACGCACTGGCCCTGAATCCAAGTCCAGTCTCGCCCCCTTTCGTCCCCACGTCCCAGCCCAGAGGTGCTGGGATGCTCACCCGGGCCACACGATGAGCCTGAGGCTCCCACGAAGGCAGCGCTGGGAGAGGCCCAGGGCCGCACACAGTAGGCACTGCATAAACACCTAGGAGCACATTTTCAGCGCTGGAACGCCACATTCCCTGCCCCACAGAGGTCCTAAGGGCACCTGGCCCTCCATAAACATACGCTCGCCCTGTACACCACCCTAGACACGGGAGAGGGATGCCTCCACGCTGTCAGAGGGCCCTACTGTGCCACAGACAAGTGAAGCTGTGTGAGGACACAATGGACAAAATGCCAGCACAGCCAGAACACAGACACACCTTCCATCCAGGCCCAAGTGGCCTCCCAGAGAAGGTGCCTCTTGACAACTCTCCCTACAAGTCCTGTAACACAATCCTGGCTGACCAGCCTCTCACCCCTCACCCCTGCACGTGCTGAAACCTCCCTCCACGCACTCACTGTCCCTGGGCTTGACCCCCCCCTTCCCCCTGGGCAGCGCGGCCAAGCTATAAGCCCTACAGAGCAAATCCTGGTCAGGAGATGGACACGGCGCTCACCTGGGGCCCGGAGCCAGCCCGCCACACAGCCCCACCACTTGTCCACCTCGGGCAGGTGTCCGACTCTCCTGCATCTCGGTCTCTGTAAAATAGGGCTTAGGGACTGCAGGAAGCAGATGAGGGTAGGTGGCAGTGTCCACACCTAGTGCACACGGCAGGCCCAGGCATACGCGCTGTGATCACCTAGGGGATATTTAACAGAGACAAGCTCGCCCGTGCACCCTCGGTAACCCTCACTACTGCCACCAGTTCTTCAGTTCCCACTCCCACCTCGTGGCTGGAAGCACTGGCACAGAGCTGCATGGCCGCAACGGCTGGATCTCAGCACCCAGACACATTAGGACGGCAGCAGCAAGGCATCTGACAGACCACCTTACACCAGGTGTGTTTAGAGGTTTGCATATATTCTCTCTTATAATCCTTCTAAAACCAGGAAGGAAATTCCACACATGCCCACCACTCCTGCAACAGAATCCTGCGGCCATTTTGCTTTCAAATTCAGACCACTCAGGCTTTGTAAATGGGGACGTGGCAGGACAAAAACCCTAAGATCTACCAACAGATGAAGAAAAAGCACCTGACAAAATCCAACAGGTTTTCATGATAAAAACAGAAAACACACTCAACAAACTAGGAGTAGAAAGGAACTTCCTCAACCCGAGAAAAAGCAGCTACAAAACCTGCAGCCACGTCATACCCAAAGGTGAAAGACCACACCCTTCCCCAGGACCAGAACCAGACAATGGCGGGTCTGCTCTCACCACTGCCGTTCCACACAGTCCTGGGGGTTCCAAACAGAGCACAGAGGCACGAAAGAGAAACAGAAGGCGCCCGAGTCGGACATGAAAAGTAAGCTGCCTCTACTTGCAGACAGCAGGACACTGTAGACAGAAAACCCAAAAGACTCCACAAGAAAATTACTGAATCTAATAAATGACTTCAACAATGTTGCAGGGCATAAGATCAACATCCAAAAATTAGCTTTGTTTCTTTACACCTGCAACGAGAAACCTGAGAAGAAAATTAAGAAATGACTCCATTTATAATAGCACCAAAAAAATAAAATAGCTAGAAATAAATTCAACTAAGGAGGTCAAAGACTTGTATGCTGAAAACTATAGAACATTGCAGAAAGAAATTAAAGATGATCTAAATAAACAGAAAGTTGTCCCATGTTCATGGATTGGAAGACGTCTTTTTGCTACAATGACAACATTCCCCAAAGTGATCAACAGGCACAACTCAGTGCCCACCAAAATTCCAGCTGGCTTCTCTGCAGAAATTGACAACCCAATCCTAAAACTTATAGGAAAATATGAGGGATCCACAAAACCAGAAACAATCTTGAAAAAGAACTAAGTTAGCAGACTCACACATTCAGATTTCAAAACTTATTATAAAGTTTCAGGAATCAGGACAGTGTGGTGTTGGCATAAGGACACACAGGTAAATCAATGGAGCAGAACCAAGAGTTCAGAAATAAACCCATACATCCATGGTCAACTGATTTTCCACAAGGGTGCCAAGACCACTCAATAGGAAAAAAACAGCCTTTTCAACAAACGGTGCTGGACCATCCACGGGCGAAGAATGCAGTTGGGTACCACATGCGAAAGTCAAATCAACATGGATCAAACACCTGAAACTAAAACCATAAAACTCTCAGGAAAAAACATAGGTGTAAACCTTCATGACCCTGGATTAAATAAAGGTTGTTTTAAATGATATCAAAACTACAAGCGACCAAAGACAAAACAGCTAAATTGGAACGAGCAAAGGATCTAAACTGACATTTCTCCGAAGACGACATACAAATGGCCAATGAGCATGTGAAAAGACGCTCACATCACTAGCCATCAGGAAGACGCAAATGACCCCACAATGAGAGCCCCCCTCAGAACCCTTCACGTGTGTCCTCATACTTAACAGCAACTCCACGCAGCAGGTACGCACAACACCATTTCATATACAAGAGAAACAAGGCTCAGAAAGTTTAAGTAACTTCCCCAGAATCAAACAGCTGCTGAATGTGGGAGCAGATACCAAGAAAGACCTTTCTGACCCCGAAGCCACAGACCCACTTGTGGTCTCCTCCACAGGGTATGAGGCAGCGCTGTCCAGCAGAAATGGGACACGAGCCACACAGGGATTTTAAATCGTCTAGAAGCCCTATTTCCAAAAGAAAAGGTGAATTTAACTTTAGTAATACACAGCAGTTCAACCATTATATCCAAAATATTGTCATTTCAATGCATAATCAATGTGAAAAATTAATGAGTTACTTTACATTCTCTTTTTCAAACTAAGTCTTTGAAATCAGTGTGCACTTCACACCCACACCACATCACAACTGGAACCAGCCAGATCTCAGGCCCTCGTTGCCACAAGTGGCTGGTGGTGGCCAGCTGCCATATGGGATGGCACAGGTGTGATGGTTAATTAAGGTAACGGGGTCCAAAGTCTGCTCCTCTGCTTAGCAGCTGTGTGACCATGGGCAAGTTACTTAACTTCTCTGTACCTTGGCTTTCTCATGTGAAAAATGGAGAGAACAGTAGTGACCTCATCAAGGACTGGGCAAAAGCAACGCAGACGCAGAGCGAGAGCTTCATGGAGGCCGCTCACTGGTACCCGGGAAAACCTCCATTTCCGAAGCTGCCGCTGCACTAGGGCATCCTGGAGTTACCCATCACACCTCCCCTGCAGGCCCCTGAGGGTGCCCGGGCTGGCCCTGAGGGTACACACCCCTTCCCACTGGCGCCCACAACCTGAGAGCTGCCAGGAGGTCCCTGGCCTTGAGGGGAGGGGACAGGACAGGCGGGACGTACCATCTCCACTGGCCTGCTTCCTCCTTCTCCTGCCCTTTCGGGGCCTCCGCGTCCCTCTTCTTTTCTCGCCCTCTGCATGTCCGCACGCCAACCAGCTGCTCCTGCTCTTGCGGCAGCTCCTTGCCTCCACCCTGCTTCATGCTGCCCTGCTTCTTTTTCTCTTTCAGCTTCTTCTCTTCTCGAGTCTTCCTTGGGAAGCCTCCCAGCCCGGGGGCAGTGGCGGGGACCACCTCCTGGCCGGCTGCTTCCTCCCCCGCAGGGCCGCACCCGTGGGCACGCTTCATGCTCCCCTCCTCCGTGAGCTTGGCTCTCTGTGGCCCCTGGTCTCCCCGTCTCTGATCCTTTGCTCCCCGGGCCCCCACCCCACCTGCAGTCTCCATCTTCCTTCTCCTGTCTATTCTGGGACGCTCCACCTGTGACTTGGACTTGTGACCAGGCGCCTCCCCTCCTGCCTGGGTGTCCCCACCCAATCCTTCACGGGCCCCTTCCATGGCTCTGTTGGCCCCCGTGTCTTCCCCCTCCTCATCTGTCTGTCTCCTCCCCAGCAACCCTTCCGCTGTTGCCTTCCCTAGTTCTCTGTCCTCAGCCTGTGTTCCTTCTTTGGGGCTCCCCGCTCCTGTCTCCTTGTCCCCACTTTGCTCCCCCTTCCCTCTGGCTGCTGGCCTGCCCCCCGCTCCCTCAGGGCCCCCCTTCCTGTGGCTGGCATCCCTGTGGTCTTTCTCCAGCCTCGATGCTTTTGAACACCTCCCAGCACGTTTCTCCTCAAGCCCTTTCAGCCTCTTCTCTTCCCACGTTTTTTCTTTAGTTTTCTTCTGTTTGCTTTTCATTTTCACTGGGCCCCCTTCCTGGTTAGCGTCTCCTTGCTCGCTGTCTCCCTCTCCGAGGGTGCTGCGTGGCAGGGCCTTAATGCCTTCCTTCCTGCCCAGCACAGCCTGCAGGGGCCCGTCCCCAGAGACCATCTCACATCCACCAAGGGCCAGCTCCATTCTGTCTTCAGGGCCTCCTCGTGACCTCGGAACCTTGCCCAGAACAGAGAGAACACGTCATGAGCGGGCCCCGGGCAGCGCCCGCCCCAGGTCAGAGAGGAGGTGGGAGGCCCACGACGAGGCAGGCTGGCCACCACTCGGAGCTCACAGGGAGGGAAAAGGGACCAGAGAGCACACACAACCCTGCAGGACGGCTTCCCAAGACACTGCACACGCCCTGCCACTGCCCACAGGGACAGCCCTCAGGGGGCCTCCAGAGCGAGGCCATGGGTTTCTAAGCGCCTCCGACTGAGCTTTGGAAAACAGCTTTGGTGTCTCAGCCCTTGTCAGGAGTGGAAAGAGGGCAGCACGTGGCAGGCTTGGGGCTCCTCCCGCTCCAGGGCAGGCACAGGCCACGCCACTGTCTTCCACCCCACCCAGGCTCACCCGCCCCCAGGTACAAACACCATCAAGTGTGGGCACAGGGAGGAAGAACTATTCCAAGGCCACTGCCCCCATCGAGGCTCTACCAACTTATCTCACAATAAATTCCTATTAGAAAGTTAGACATTAAGTTCATTCACTGTCTTCTTATGTTTGCAAGAATAAACATCCTGCCAGGCACGAGTGCCTATAAATCACTGACAGCGGTCCTGAGAACCACACTTTAGGATGCTCACTTGGCTTTTTTTCTTGGATGGCTTTTCATGGTTATTTGTCTTCACTGGCTTGGTGGTCTGTGCAGATCTGGAATACAAATTTATACATAAATATGTAAAGCTGCTGCTCACTTAGAAAGCCTGCCATTTTAAAAATGGGGAAAAGATTCAGAACAATCCTGTAGAAGTCTCTAATCTCTTTAACGAACTTTTTTTTAAAGATTGGCACCTGAGCTAACAACTGTTTCCAATCTTCTTTTTTTTTTCCCCCCTGCTTTTTTCTCCCTAAATCCCCCCAGTACACAGCTGTATATTTTAGTTGTGGGTCCTTCTAGTTGTGGCATGTGGGATGCTGCCTCATTGTGGCCTGATGAGTGGTGCCATGTCTGTGCTCAGGATTCGAACCCTGGGCCACCGAAGCAGAGCGCATGAGCTTAACCACTCGGCCACGGGGCCAGCCCCAAACTTTTTTCTTTTTAAAACAGGCTTTGGTAAATATGACAGTTAATCCATGAGCAGGGGAGTGAACGAGCCCGACTCCAGGTGGCGGAAGCTGCGAAAGCATCTCTGGCCGTCTCCTGCCTACAAGAGCCTGCCTGGGGCCACAGGGAGAAGGGACTGCAGGGCCAGCTCCCTGTCACCCAGTAGGTCCACCCCTCCCCCCATCAATACCACAACTGTCTTAGAATCATCCATCTGGAAAAACAGTCCTTCAGAAAACACATTTAGAAACAAAACCCAAACTAAACGGAGAGACCCCTCCAAAACCTGTAGGGCAACAGGGCCCTGCCGGGGGACCCAGGCACAAGGTAATGGTGGCCAGGCACGCCCACTCACTGGCTGACAGATCACCTACAAACAGTTCCCTTTGCACGCCCTAGGATGGCTACAGCAAAAAGAGAGAAAATAACAAGTGTTGGCAAGGATGTGAAGAAACTGAATTCTCTGTACGTTGCTAGTAGGAATACAAAATGGTGGAGCCATTTGGAAAACAGTCTGGCAGTTTCTCAACAAAGCAAATATAGATTTGCCATTAAGACCCAGCAATTCCACTCCTAGATATTCAAACAAATACTTGTGCGTGAACGTTCACAACTTTACAGTATTGTAAATATGCAGAAATATTTACAAGAGTCGAAAGGTGGAAATAACCCAAAATGTCCATCAACAGATGAATGGATAAGCAAAAAGTGGCCTATGCCTACAATAGACTATTTTCAGCCATAAAAGGAATGAAGTACTGATGCACACTATGACGGGGATGAATCTTAAAAACATGCTAAGTGAAAGAAGCCAGACATAAAAGGACAAATACTCTATGATTCACTTATATGAACTATCCAGAATAGGCAAATCCATAGGAATTGAAAACAGATTAGTGGTTGTCAGGGGCTGGGGGAAGAGGGAAATAAGGGGTATGGAGTTTCCTTTCAGGATGATGAAAAAGTTCTAGAATTGTTAGATAGTGGTGATGGTTGCACACGTTTGTGAATGCACTTATTATCACTGAATTATACACTTTAAAATGGTTAAGATAATGAATTCTATATTATATAGATTTTATCACAATAAAAATAACACAAAAAGAATGTTTTCATAACTTTCTGAAATTTTCCATGAGAGAAGGAGAGTTGGAACAGAACGTCAAGCACAGAGAGAAGTCCTGCCTCTGTCCTGAGCACGGAGGCTGCAACTGTCGGCCCATGAGCTAAATCTGGGCCACACACATTTCTGTTTGGCCGGCCAAGCACTTTTGTAAAATTGCACCAACGTTTAACACTTGTGATATTTCAACATAAAAATTCCAATTTCTGCAACCTGAACAAAGCAGCGACGTGGACAGTGTGAGCCTACATAGAAGTCAACACACAGTGCATGGCACCGCAGAGAGGGAGATGGTGGGGCCTGTTGAAGCAGCAGGCGGCGGGCGCAAAGGATGGCCTGCCTCCTCCTGGGGGAGCAGATTATAGGAACTTACTAGTAAGCAGGATTTGAGGTGACTCAGAGCAAACACCAAATTAAACAACTCCTGTGTTCCAAGGCCAGGAGCTTCGCTCAAAAATGGAAATACTATTGAAAACAACATAGCTCCAACTCCCTGATTCTAATGCAGATTCCATTCACCCTAACCCAACAGACAGATCCTTGCATCGAGCCAGGGATCCGTCTGCAGCATCAGAGTTTTCAAAAGCAAATCCTACTACAGTTTTTTCCATTCAGCTTTTTCTTTGTTCTGCTGGACAAAGGAAGCTTTTTACACTATCATCTGATACAAGAAAGTGGTAGAAAACAGAGAGGAGAGGTCAAGAAGGGTCAGCGACAACTGTCAGCCCAACGCCGTTTAAACTGTTTTGGTGCTATCCTTTGAAAAAGCTGTCGGTACACTGATTGTTACTAAGTTTACAATTAGTTCTGACAAGATCATTTATTTACAAGAAAAACCAACCAAAAAAAGGACCCACGGCAGCTGAGGGAGGGCTGGTGCTCAGGACATCACCCTCCATCTCTGGCTGTCACACGAACGTGCCAGAGATCGAGTCCCTCGCATCAGACAGCAGCTCACGTTCCCCACCATGCTACAGATCTACCGGATTCCTAACTTCCGTCTCAGTGAAAGCAAAGACGATAAAAACAGGGAGTGCAGGGCACAATTCCACTGCAAAGGCCAGAGTCTGAGGACAGAAGGTGATGTCACCCCCCCTCCCATGGAGATCGCCGCACCCCCTCACCATCCCCACTTCCCCCCCTCCACACAGGAAAGGGACACAGAACAAACCTTACCTGATGGTAACACTACCCTGGCCTGGATTTTCTTTCCAAACGGAGAATGTACTTTCTTCTTTCAAGCACTGCTACAAGCCACAAGATAAGAGAGTTTATTTACTGAGAGCACGTCCATGTCACGATAAATGGTTAGAACTGCTGTTAAAATGCTAAGGAGACTGCCCCAATGTGTTCTGCATGTGGCCCTTGAGAAGACCAAACATGAAGACTGAGTGTGAGCAGGTCCAGGCCACTCTGACACCCAGCCAGCGGCTGCCCATTCCTTACAACTCAGCAAGAGGGTGGCAGCAGCCGGGTCAAAGGCTTCTGAGAGGTAAGAAGCCAAACCCACGCCCCTCAGGACTGAGTCCAACCCCCACACACAACACAGAAAGCAGTGCACCTTCTGAAGTTGGAAATATATGTCCCTTACCATGAACACAAAGTACATGTTTTAAATTTTACCATTATGACATGAAAACTTAGAAAGACTTATGGGTAAAAAGAACACAAAGAATGCAACATATTGAAAACTGTGAGTTTAAAAGTGAAACATTAACAGTAAATAAAAGATTCAAACCTGGTCTTCCCCACATCTTCCCCGACTGGTTTGGTTTGGCTCCTTCACTTTCCGTTTCTTTGAGTTTTCTAGCTTCATCTGCTCGGTATTCTCTCTCTTCCTTTAATCAAAGAAATATTTTCATGTGACTCCCAAGGGAGGAAACGCAAAGCCAACACTGAAATGATGTCTTTGACGGGAAGAAACACAAACCTCACGGAAAGGCAATCAGATCACCGCCTCCCTCTCCGTCTCCAGTCTGATAACAGACTCCCTGCTGGACGCCACCTGGGCCGAGTCGGCGCACGGAGGCTATTCACAGCCCTCCTTCCACCAGTGTGGGGATGGGGCCAATCAGACTACGTTGTTGTAAGAGCTGAGCCAGCCCCTTAACAAAAATCACAACTCGCCCAGCAAAGGCCACTTCCTCTTCCCAAAAGCATTCCATTACCTCATGAGGGCAACCTTATCCTTCACCGAGAACTGCTTCAAATCGGACACCTCATCATCTCCCATCGCCTCTTCTTTATCTGTAACTGCGAATCCCCAACTGTAAGAAAACACATAGGGCTGTGACACATCACAGAGGACCCCAGGGCAAGGGGCAGGTCAGTTCTAAAGGAGGTGAGCCTGGACCCATGCGGCAGGGACATTCTACGGCCAGTCGCGCCTGCAGCTGGTGCTCCGGCCCGCTGAGTCTACATCTAAAACACAGCAACAGCAACTCACAGAAACCCACAACCAAGAGCACAGCAAAGTCACTCTGCTCATGAGTCTCCACTGGTTCTGACGGTCAGTACATAGTATTCATTCACGACCCCACCATTATACAATTAGTCTCTCTGGGAACAGTTTCAGTGAACAGGTTCTGAGCATCTTCTCGGGTTTTATATGTTGTCATGTTTATATTTTTAAATGTCACGATTAAGTATTTTGAATTCAGGCACAGACTCCCCGGAAAATAGCCCGTTTGCCAATTCTAGCTGACTACTTATCGCTTTAGATGCGTCAGACGAAAAGAAAAAGAAAAAAAGCTGAAAACTCGAGGTGTTACAAGATGAACACCAGCATGGTGAGGAGGGGGAGGGCGGATCGGAACTCAGCGGACAACCGGGGCCCTAAGGTTAGTGGAGCTGGAGATTCAGGGGCCGGGCAGGAAGCCGGTTAGCGCATGCGGGCTTGGGGAGGGCTGGCACATCGACAGCGCCCCCTGCGGGGAGGAGCCCCCGGGGACAGGGCGGGATTTCCCCCTGTGAGGGCCAGTCCGGGCCCTTCTCCTACGCAGCCTACAGGGCAGCTGGTCAGGAGCAGCAGGCGCAGCCGGCCACGGGGTCGGGAACAGGGGGCGTTGGACACCGAAGGAAGGGGACAGGCGGACAAACACCCCAAAGAGAACAGGGCCACGGAGGGCACGGCGGGGGTCACCGACGCGAACGGGGTCGCTGAGGGCACAGCCAGAGCACCCTCCAGGCCCCACCCGCCCCTGCGACGGCCCCTGCGTCCTCAGGCCGGGTCCAACCTCCTCTGCAGCTCTTCAAAGGCCCTGGGATCCCCCAAAGCAGCCGCACCAAAGCCCACGGCAGCGCCCGGCGGCTAGTCACCGGGTCCGCGCGTGCGCAGCCGCCGCCACGTGCCGCGCCTCGACGCTGCCGCGGGGGCCGCCGGGAGAGCTGGCGGTGGAGGGGGCGGAGCTGCGCGGGGCGGGGGCGCATGCGCGGGACGCCAGGGGAGGGGCGCAGACGCCCCCGCCCCGGTCTCCTGGGAACCGAGCTGCAGACCCCCGCCAGGCCCAGAGTGGTGGTGAAGCGTGTGTTCTGGAGTCGGTGCATCTGGATGCCGCTGGGTCAGCGATCACCGGGCGGTGGGGCGGAGCTGGGCCCGCGAGGGAGGAGCCGGAGAGCGGGGCGTCGAGGCGGGAAGCCGGGGCTGGACCCCGCGGAAAGGCCCAGCGCCCGAGCACCCGCTCCGGGCCTCAGACCCCGGTTCCCGCGGGCTCGGCCTCGGGGTCCTCAGACGTGGATGTACCGCCGAGCCCTTTGCTGCTTTGAGCTCTGAACCGGGGACGTTTGAGAAGAGCGCAGGAGCAGGTTGTTGAACGGAGCCGTTCGGACGCTGCACCGGCCGGCTGGCGCGTGCCCACGGGGACGCTGGGCGTGCGAGTGTCCATCACCGTGAACGCGGCGTGCTGGGCGCCGGGGGAGTGCGGCAAGCGAGGCGTGCTCCTCGGTGTCGGCAAGGGAGGGGGTGCTAGAACCACATCGGGCCCACTGAGTCTGGAGAGACGGCTGGGAGCGGCGACATTCATCTGAGGCTGGGAAGTTCAGTAGATGTTGGCCAGGGCGGCAGAGTGGAGAGAGGACTCCAGACAGACAGGGAGCTGTGTGGATAAGGGCACAGCGAGTGGCTGCAAATGGTCAGGACAGTTGCAAGTGGGCCCGTGTGCACCGTGTGTGCAAGCGTCTGAGGTCGGGTTCCTGCAAAAGCAGACCCTTGGTGCAAATACTTTATTTGGGTGGTAGGCCCAGGAAGCACAGGTAGTGGGGTGGGGAAGTGAGACAGGGAAGGGAATGAGGCCAGTCCCAGGTGTAGTGAACAGCAGGTTCCCGCGGTGGGCTCAGCCCCACTTGGAGCCTCGGAGGAACACACCTCCAGAGTGAATTAGGTCCCTGATCCATCCAGCACCTCCTGTCTGTCATTCGCTGGGGCTGCTTCTGGGCTGTCAAATCCCCGACTCCCTGTAAGCCCCAGGCACAGGCCGGCACACCTAGGCACTGAGAGAAGCCCTCAGGGAAGAGGTCGCCTGCAGGAGGAATTGGAATGCATGGGAATAGCCAGTGCCCAGGAGATGTGAGCAGGGCGCTGAGAGCGTTGGCTAAAGTGTGTGCAAGTGCATGTGTGTGTGTGCATGCACCTGTGTGTGCATGTTGGAGTTGGGGAAGGGCCGGGGCGTGTGGATGCGATTGGGCAGGCACTGGGGGGCACTGTCAGCTTAGGTGAGATAATGTGTTTCCATTGCATTTTGCAGAGATGACTAGCCCTTGGTGGGTGAGATGGCTCATGGGGAGGCCTGCAGGAAACTGGACGCCTCATGCCAGTGGGAGATGGCAGTGAGGATGGCCAGCTGAGGATGGTGGAGGTGGGGACAAGAGGAGTTGAGGATGGCACCCAAGGTTCCAGTTTGCATGGCCAGGTGGGTGGGGCTGTCTTCTGACCCTAAAACTGCATCACAGGAAAACCACCTAAAAACATACACTCGAGGAGAACAGAGCAGGCTATTTCAAAGGTGCTTTCTTACTTTACAATTTGGTGGTTTTACCAGTTGTAGTGCCTTTGTTTGAAGTTATTAAAGATGCCATTCCTGCCTTCTTAACAAATGGAACTTAGGTAAATAGCTGTTTTCCTGCTTTGGTGAATAATGGCCAGACGGAAGCCTTCTGTCGTATAGACGGCTCACACTGCCGGCCGAGTGTGCGCTGTGGAAGCTTTGCATAAAGATGGCATCTAATCTACAATTGTGCCTGGATTTGCTAGAGCCCCACGGAGGCTGAGCTCATTTTATTCAGAACGCCACAGGAACAATAACCAAAAAAGGATACCATGAAGGCAACATCTATCATATGCTTCTTAAAAAACCCCGTTGTCAGCATCAGTGACAATGGCATTACCGCTCAGTCACTGAGATTAAAAATTAGTCATACGTGGAAAATAGAAACAGGTTTTCAGGGAGAAGGAAGCTTTGGTTCCACTGAATAATGCCCCTTTTTTGCTTGGTAAATAAATGATGCATATTTTCTGATGATACATATTTTTGAGGGTGGCTATGTCTCGGTGGTCCCAGATTTGGGGTAAGAGCCTTGTTGTCAGTTGATTGGCTGGGCAAATGTCAAAAATATTTTATAAATTATATCCAAAGCTGTCTGACAACAAGGTATTCAGTAGTGACATCAGAGTTACCTCTCTCCAGAATCTGAATCTTTCTGGATTAGTTCACAAACGAATAAGTCCTTGGAATTAAGTTTTTTTTTTCTTCTACACATCGCAGGCTGTTGATGAGACACAATCATTATGCTAGGCGCCATTTGACCACCTGTGCCTTCTCACCCCCCCCAAACCCTGGTTTAACCCAACCCTCCACCTTCTCAGCAACCACACACCAGCTGGGCCCCCTGCCCCACCAGGAAACCCCACCCCCCCGTCCTAGCCCATTCTCCCCCTCCCCTCCTGTGACCTCCAGCACCCCTTCTCAGCCCATTCTCGCCCTGGCCCTTGCTTCCTATGTCACAGACATAGAAACAGTCCCCAGGGAGCCTCCACACCCTCCCAACCCCATGTGTGCACTGCCTGTATCCCCATTCCTCTACCTTCTCCTGTTACTGTGGTTGAACTATTCATACCTCTGTTAAAGGCCAGCCAGCTCCTTGGCACTCTCCTGACCCCACAACCAGGGACAGCACCAGTTTTCTGCTCCCCCTAGAGCAGAACTCCCCAGATGTGTGTCCACTTCCTTTGTTCACTTCCTCTCCTCTGGCTCACTTTTGATCCCCATCAAAGCAGCCTTTTGTCTGCACACGCACTGAGACGGCCCCCGGTAAGGTCTCCGCTGACCTCCAGCACATTCCGCAGCCTCGTCCTACTGACCATCAGCAGCACAAGGCAATGCATTGGTCCCTGGCTCTCCTTGGACCTCATCCTTCCCTGGGTCTCTGGGTCCTGTCTGGCCCAGTCCCTGCGGCTCCAGGCTGCCCTTCCTCTTCCTGACCACTATGGTGAACTGCCCAGCCCTCTGTCCATGACAGGTCTCTAGGGACCGCACAGCGCACGCACCCACACGTGGCTCTGCCTGCAGCCTCACGCCAGGCTCCAGCTCAGCAGCCTGCTCCACATCTCCCCTGGGCCGCCTGACGGACAGCTCCAGCCCAGCGTTTCAAAACCAAGCTCTCCATCTGCCCAAGCCTGTTCCTTCCAAATTGGCGCCGTCCGGTGGTCGCACTGTCTTTCTCCATGTTGCTCAGGCTGGAATTGTGGTGTCGTTCTTCACATCCTGCGTTGAATCCATCAGCAAACCTTCAAACATATTCTCTGCCTGACTGCTGCCCCTGCAGAGCTCCCTGCCTCCCCCAGCCCAAGGCGGGCCTTTGGCAATCAGATCCACCCCAGAGGATTGTCGGGAAGCTTCAGTGCTGGAAGCACGCAGGTGCTCCCAGCTGCCTGCCTGTTATCAGACAGTAAATGCCAGCTACTGACACCAGCTCTCTGGGGCAGCCCTGGACACCCTCGCCTCGCACTGTTAAAAGGATGAAACCAGTTCCCCAAAGTGGCCAGAAAAATGCTCATGGAACCAGGCCACTCTGCCAAATTTACAAGGGCAGTAATTTGTCCCCCCTTTTTCCTTGGACCTTTTCCCTGAGAAGTGCCATTTCCCCAGAAGCCAGCAGGCAAGCCGCCTTCCTTACTCAGAACAGGACTTCTCCCTCCCTCCCCGTGTGCACACTCAGCACCTTCATGTCCAGGACAGATGAGAGCATAGAGGTGCCGGGGAACATTACAGAGTGTGGCATTCAGAGCCCACAGAGCGGCCTCCCGCTAGGGTCCCTCGGCAAAGTGCCCCGAAGAAGGGAGTTTGAAGTTCTCTTGCTCCTGGCGGCTTTTCATATTGTGCCCACTGCAGGCCAGGGCTCCTGGCGGCTCTCTCTTTTATTTTCCCCAAATGACTCTCAACTTGTCTTCAAATAAGAATAAATATGTGTGTCTGTTCTCTGGGGCCTTTGACAGCCCTGTGACTTGGGCGGGATTGATGGCCCCGTCTCACCAGAAAGCCAGGTGCATCTTTCACTAAAGGTGGTTTCCACATGATGAATGGTGTTCTCATGAAAACAAAATTGTTGATTGTATTTACAAACAATTCATTTTTCACGTTCCGTTGATTCCTCTCCAGCGTCCCTCAGTGCCCCCCCGCCCCACTCCCCGGCTGATGCATCGGCAGCTATTACCGCCATTGATTAAGGCTTCCTTGTAGCCCTGTGGTGCCTGTTCCTCCATTCATCACAGACACGGGGCGCGCACACAGCAGTCCATCATGTTCTCTTCGTGCTTTACGGTTATTTGTTTTTCAATTTACGTCGTGTGCCGTCTAAGTACAGGTGCATCCCAAAACTCCAAAGTCTTAGCATGCCACAACAGTGAACAAATAAATGTGTAATTAAATTCTTTGGCTCTACCCAATCCTGTGCCTGCAAAGGCTACCTCCTCTGCCCCTGATTCTGAAAAAATGTGAATGTAAATAAAGTGTCAGCACTGCCATCTAATTGAGACTTGAGACTGGGAAGAAAGTCGACGTAAGTGCCACTACATTGGCATGAAGAGCCTATGGGCTCGTATCTGCGAAGCACTGATCTGTATAAAAGCGTAAGGCGCACCCCATCAGCACTTGCTGTCTCCCATCTGTGAAAAGCCCTCTGCCGACCTGTGTCCGCCTCCAGCTGGTGTCCCATTTCTCTGCCTTTTCACACTAAAACTCTCCTCCACTTCCTCACTTCCCATTCTCTTGTTTTCCCTCTAATTTTTTTTAAATTTCAAAAATGCACCAGAACATTCTTGCTGTGACAAGTCCGGTTATACAGAAGTATGTAAAGGAAAAAGCCAGTTGTCTCTCCTGCCCGCCGGCCTGAGGA